TATGATAAGGCCACAGGGTCATGGGGTTGCAAGCTCTGATATATAATTCTGCTTTCAATTGAAACTCAGATGTACAAAAAATCTTGCTTGGTTTTAATTATATTGTATGGCATTCATTTAGGTAGTAAAAACATAGGTACCTGTAAGATGTGAGTACCTGTGAAATATATGTACCAGTTTGATGTTGGGACAGATGTGACTACCTGTGAGTTGTAAGGCAGATGTGGGTACCTGTAAGATGTGAGTACCTGTAAGATGTGAGTACCTGTAAGATGTGAGTACCTGTGAGATGCTAGTATGAGGGAGATATGGGTAGCTGTGAGATGTTGTTGCCTGTGAGATGTGAGTACCTGTGAGATGTGAGTACGAGGGAGATATGAGTAGCTGTGAGATATTGTTGCCTGTGAGATGTGTGTACCTGTGAGATGTGAGTATGAGGGAGATATGAGTAGCTGTGAGATGTTGTTGCCTGTGAGATGTGTGTACCTGTGAGATGTGAGTATGAGGGAGATATGGGTAGCTGTGAGATGTTGTTGCCTGTGAGATGTGTGTACCTGTGAGATGTGAGTATGAGGGAGATATGGGTAGCTGTGAGATATTGTTGCCTGTGAGATGTGAGTACCTGTGAGATGTGAGTACGAGGGAGATATGAGTAGCTGTGAGATGTTGTTGCCTGTGAGATGTGTGTACCTGTGAGATGTGAGTACGAGGGAGATATGAGTGGCTGTGAGATATTGTTGCCTGTGAGATGTGAGAACCTGATACATGTGTGATGAGATTACCTGTGCAGTATTGGGATATTACACCCCAAATAGTTTTCAGTAGCTTGATAAGATTAAAATGTGACCATGGTCTTAACACCTCTGTCCCTGTGACACATGTTACCATCTATCTAGTCATCTACCCCTGTCTCAGTGACACATGTGAAAACCAATCAAGCCATTTACCCCTGTCTCAGTGACACATGTTGATACCAGTCATTTACCCCTGTCTCTGTGACACATGACTTTAACACCTGTCTCTGTGACACATGACTTTAATACCTGTCTCTGTGACACATGACTTTAACACCTATCCAGCTACTACCCCTGTCTCTGTGATACATGTCTTTAACACCTATCCAGCCATCTACCCCTGTCTCTGTGGTATACATGTTCTGTTGACTTTTGAGATTGTCAACATGTTTATCTAGTCAGACCCTGCTGCACTGAGGAGGCAATATCTGGATGGTGTATACATGTGGTACTTAAGTTCACAGTACTTGTTGAGAAGTCTTATCTATATATAGTATGAGGTATGTGATGGACACTTTCAAAAGTCTATCTTTGCTGGGGTTTACTCTTTAGTGTTTGGATTAGAGACAGCAGCCCTATAATTCAGGAATTTGTCACCATATATATTTGTGAAGGGAAACCCCTTGTATTTTGGGTTGGGCATCCTGTGTTTGTGTGTGGGTAGGGAGAGGGGAATTCAGAAGACTGTCTTAGGGAATTGGTTTCGGGTTTTGTTGCTTGGCAAGTTTCTTATTGTGTAATGAATGAAATTGTATGAAGGAAAAAAAAACTATTGGTATTTGATTGAGAAATAAAGCAGGATATATCATGATTTCTAGTGTATATATCACTTATATAGAAAAAAGGAGGTGATGACCTGCTGGGAAGGTTATGGTCCAGATAATCTACCTAAAAGGTTCTGACTGATAGTGTCCCGTTTCAATCTTCAAAATTCAAAAGAAAACTATATACCATTTAAGTAAGTCTGTTCCTGACTATATTTGAAATAGATTTATGAGATGCCCCCCCCTCCTCATCCCACTCATACCTTTTGCCTGAAGCCTTCTTTACACCTAAATAAACAGAAAAATCCAAATCTGTTAAATTTATGACCTCAATAACAGCTGTATACATCTTAGTCGGGGAGATGCTTTCAAATTTTTGTCGAAAAAATAGGTTTTAAAGTTTGAATCATAGTGTACACATAGGTGTATATACTCATCATGTCTATATATAGCATTATCTTTGTATACTAACTTTCTCCATGAAAAACAGGGATTTCCTGGTACATTCTTCAAATAACACATCAGTGGTCTGTCAACAGGCAAAAAGTTTTTATATTCAAAATGACATATACCTTGTGTGTGTGTGTGTGTGTGTGCATGCCAATAATTCCAAGATATTCAACACACTGTAGAATGTGTAATGTAATATGCAAACAAATATTGTGTTCCTGGGGCTTATGCTCTGATGGCTCAAAGGAAATAAACCAATATTTTTTTTAGCTTGGCCTTAATAAGTAGAGAATGATAGAAAAGGGAATATGAGCACAGTGGAATTAAACCAATAATTGATAGCTTGGCCTTATTTGTAGACAGTAATAGACAAGGTTAAATATTACTCCAGAGTGGAGAGGATATGGAGTGTGTATAAAGTTTAAGAATATTTGTATACTTGTCCTACTGTTTATGATGTTAACAAGAAAATGCTTATCCATATTGCCTCTATTTTATGGTTGACAACACAACAAGTAATTAACAGGGTATTTGTACCTGTTGCAGGCATTGTGTGTAGTAGTAGTAGAATATACATACATGGTCTGTAACATGTGTGGGTATATATAAATTGTATGTGTGTATAGTGGGGTATATGTACATTGTATATGTACAGTGGGGTATATGTACATTGTATGTGTGTACTGTGGGGTATATGCATTGTATGTGTACAGTGGGGTATATGTACCTTGTATGTGTGTACAGTGGGATATATGTACATTGTATGTGTACAGTGGGATATATGTACATTGTATGTGTACAGTGGGGTATATGTACATTGTATGTGTACAGTGGTGTATATGTACATTGTATGTGTACAGTGGGGTATATATACATTGTATGTGTACAGTGGGGTATATGTACATTGTATGTGTGTACAGTGGGGTATATATACATTGTATGTGTACAGTGGGATATATGTACATTGTATGTGTACAGTGGGGTATATGTACATTGTATGTGTGTACAGTGGGGTATAAGCATTGTATGTGTACAGTGGGGTATATGTACATTGTATGTGTACAGTGGGGTATATATACATTGTATGTGTACAGTGGGTTATATGTACATTGTATGTGTACAGTGGTGTATATGTACATTGTATGTGTACAGTGGGGTATATGTACATTGTATGTGTGTACAGTGGGGTATATATACATTGTATGTGTACAGTGGGATATATGTACATTGTATGTGTGTACAGTGGGATATATGTACATTGTATGTGTGTACAGTGGGGTATATGTACATTGCATGTGTGTACAGTGGGGTATATATACATTGTATGTGTACAGTGGGGTATATATACATTGTATGTGTACAGTGGGGTATATGTACATTGTATGTGTACAGTGGGGTATATATACATTGTATGTGTACAGTGGGGTATATATACATTGTATGTGTACAGTGGGGTATATATACATTGTATGTGTACAGTGGGGTATATATACATTGTATGTGTACAGTGGGGTATATATACATTGTATGTGTACAGTGGGGTATATGTACATTGTATGTGTACAGTGGGATATATGTACATTGTATGTGTACAGTGGGATATATGTACATTGTATGTGTACAGTGGGGTATATATACATTGTATGTGTACAGTGGGGTATATATACATTGTATGTGTACAGTGGGGTATATGTACATTGTATGTGTGTACAGTGGGATATATACATTGTATATGTACATTGTATGTGTGTGTGTACATATGTGTATGTGTACAGTATATGTACATTGTATGTGTGTACAGTGGGGTATATGTACATTGTATGTGTACAGTGGGGTATATGTACCTTGTATGTGTGTACAGTGGGGTATATGTACATTGTATGTGTGTACAGTGGGGTATATGTACATTGTATGTGTGTACAGTGGGGTATATGTACATTGTATGTGTGTACAGTGGGGTATATGTACATTGGATTAATGCTGAGTGTTTGGGTATTAAGATAACAAATTGCAATGTCACATTTAAATTCTTCCTCCTGTTATCTCCATGTGTTGTGTTTACTGACTGTGTCAGATCTCATGAGAAGTATAGGTATAATTCATGAACTGTGTAGTATAAAATCTTAATTGTAGTGTATTTCTGATGTAAGATCTAATATTAAGTGTATTTATGATGTAAGATCTAATATTAAGTGTATTTATGATGTAAGATCTGATGTAAGATCTAATATTAAGTGTATTTCTGATGTAAGATCTAATATTAAGTGTATTTCTGATGTAAGATCTAATATTAAGTGTATTTCTGATGTAAGATCTAATATTAAGTGTATTTCTGATGTAAGATCTAATATTAAGTGTATTTCTGATGTAAGATCTAATATTAAGTGTATTTATGATGTAAGATCTAATATTAAGTGAATTTCTGATGTAAGATCTAATATTAAGTGTATTTATGATGTAAGATCTAATATTAAGTGTATTTATGATGTAAGATCTGATGTTAAGTGTATTTTTGATGTAAGATCTAATATTAAGTGTATTTATGATGTAAGATCTAATATTAAGTGTATTTCTGATGTAAGATCTAATATTAAGTGTATTTCTAATATTAAGTGTATTTCTGATGTAAGATTTAATATTAAGTGTATTTATGATGTAAGATCTAATATTAAGTGTATATTAAGTGTATTTATGATGTAAGATCTAATATTAAGTGTATTTATGGTGTAAGTCTGATGTGAAGTGTACTTATGATCTAAGATCTTATATGAAGTGTCATTTTGGTAAAAGATCTTATGTGAAGTTTATAAGATCGTACATTGAGCAGTTTATTTTAAAGATCTTATATGAATTGTTCTGATCTTGTTTAAAACGAAATTCATTTCTTAAAATATGCATATAAAAAAATTGTATTATAACTATATGTATTATGGCAGATCTCTATAAAGTACCAATGAGTAGTTGATTTAAGTCTGAATTTTGTCTGTTACAGCGGGATCCTTTGTGGCCCTAACCTTGCTGAACAAACCTGCAGGTGGTAACCAGTCCCCTGCTGATAAAGCCTCAGGGGTAACTTTAAGAGGCCCATCCAAAGAAATAGTTTCAGCACCCCAGTCTGTCAATGTGAGTACAACATTTGTCTCCCCAAACTATTTAGAGTACAATAGGTGCCCCCCCCCCTTATTCTGTCATTATAAGTACAAAAATGGACTGACCCAAAGTCTGTCAATATGAGTACAAGTTTTGGCTGTCCCCTTGTCTGTCAATGTGAGTACAATACTTACTTCATCAATGAGAGTACAATGTATTCTCCCCCCCCTTCCCCACCCCCACCCCCAATACTTGCCTCCCCTCCCTGGTCTGTGAATCTGAGTACAATACTTGCCTCCCCTCCCTGGTCTGTGAATCTGAGTACAATACTTGCCTCCCCTCCCTGGCCTGTGAATCTGAGTACAATACTTGCCTCCCCTCCCTGGTCTGTGAATCTGAGTACAATACTTGCCTCTCCTCCCTGGTCTGTGAATCTGAGTACAATATTTGTGTCCTGCTATTTTGTGCCATTGCCAATATCTCACTGTTTAAACTTTCTCTGACTTCTATATGTGGGTGATGCTGCCCTGCTTGCTTTCCATCATCCTGATGATTTACAACTGTAATACCTTATAGCTTCTTTTGTAATGAAAAATAAAAAATGAAATATTGATCTGTTCTGTTATTCATGTATTAACTTAATTAATGATTTTCATGACTACAAGTCGATCAATATTTTCAAGCTGTCACAAATATTTAATGAAAAGTTTGTATGATTTTAAAAAGCAAAATATTGCAGAAAGGTTTCTGAATAACAATAATGATATTACTATATGTGACCTGATCAATGTATTTCCTCGTTTTTAACATTACTGTAATGGTTTTGTACTGTTGTAGTGCCGACTTGGGTACATTCTTTCTGATATTAATCTTTGTGCCTGATATTTCTCCAAATAACATATTACACACTTGCATGCTTTGCTATGTACTTTGCTGATGTTAAAAAAAATTCTGTCCAAAAAAAGATATATCTATCTGCATAGATAACCTCCAGTATTTAACTGGGTGTGACTAGATATGTGACTTTCTCCAGTATTTAACTGGGTGTGACTAGATATGTGACTGTCACCAGTATTTGACTGGGTATGACTAGATATAAGACTGTCACCAGTATTTAACTGGGTGTGACTAGATATAAGACTGTCACCAGTATTTGACTGGGTGTGACTAGATATAAGACTGTCACCAGTATTTAAATGGGTGTGACTAGATATAAGACTGTCTCCAGTATTTAACTGGGTGTGACTAGATATAAGACTGTCTTCAGTATTTAACTGGGTGTGACTAGATATAAGACTCACCAGTATTTAACTAGGTGTGACTAGATATAAGACTCACCAGTATTTAACTGGGTATGACTAGATATGTGACTGTGACCAGTATTTAACTGGGTGTGACTAGATATAAGACTGTCACCAGTATTTAACTGGGTGTGACTAGATATAAGACTGTCACCAGTATTTGACTGGGTGTGACTAGATATAAGACTCACCAGTAATTGACTGGGTGTGACTAGATATAAGACTCACCAGTAATTGACTGGGTATGACTAGATATAAGACTGTCACCAGTATTTGACTGGGTATGACTAGATATAAGACTGTCACCAGTATTTGACTGGGTATGACTAGATATAAGACTCACCAGTAATTGACTGGGTATGACTAGATATAAGACTGTCACCAGTATTTGACTGGGTGTGACTAGATATAAGACTGTCACCAGTATTTGACTGGGTATGACTAGATATAAGACTCACCAGTAATTGACTAGATATAAGACTGTCACCAGGTGTGACTAGATATAAGACTGTCACCAGTATTTGACTGGGTATGACTACCAGTAATTGACTGGGTGTGACTAGTGACTCACCAGATGGGTGTGACTAGATATAAACTAATTGACTGGGTATGACACTGTCACCAGTATTTGACTGGGTGTGACTAGATATAAGACTGTCACCAGTATTTGACTGGGTATGACTAGATATAAGACTCACCAGTAATTGACTGGGTGTGACTAGATATGTGACTGTGACCAGTATTTGACCAGGTGTGACTAGATATAAGACTCACCAGTAATTGACTGGATGTGACAAGATTAAAACTGTCACTAGTATTTGATCAGGTGTGACTAGATATATGACTGTGCCCAGTATTTAACTGGGTGTGACTAGATATATGACTGTTCCCAGTATTTAACTGGGTGTGACTAGATATATTACCGTGCCCAGTTTTTAACTGGGTGTGACTAGATATATGACTGTGCCCAGTATTTAACTGGGTGTGACTAGATATAAGACTCACCAGTAATTGACTGGGTGTGACTAGATATATGACTGTGACCAGTATTTGACCAGGTGTTACTAGATATAAGACTCACCAGTAATTGACTGGATGTGACAAGATTAAAACTGTCACTAGTATTTGATCAGGTGTGACTAGATATGACTGTGCCCAGTATTTAACTGGGTGTGACTAGATATATGACTGCCCAGTATTTAACTGGGTGTGACTAGATATATGACTGTGCCCAGTATTTAACTGGGTGTGACTAGATATATGACTGTGCCCAGTATTTAACTGGGTGTGACTAGATATAAAACTAGAGTATAAAGAGAGTAGTGTTTGACTAGGGCCAGTGTAGTTTAGGTCAGCTCTCTCCAGTATTTGACTGGATGTGGCTTTGCTTTTGTAGGCGCACAAAAGCTGGGAGTTGAAACAGTCCAAGGTGCTGGAATTAAATAAATATTATGAGCTAGCAGTAGAAGAACTAGAGGTTTGTATATGTAAAACACCAGTGTGGAAACACCACTCAAAATTTCATTGACTGAAAAAAATCAGGGCATATTAATTACCTCTGATCTCTGTATATAGTACATCTTCCTCTCTTTATGATTATCGTGAAAATCTTTCTGATTCCATCTGTCTCCCAAGACCTTCCAATTACTTATATATACTGTTCTTTAGATTTGGATTCTTTCTGTCGAGTTTAGAATGCAGAATGTTATTATATTCTTTATCAAATTATAATTTACTTGATTAAATCTAATAAACTGATTCATGATCTGCCATCTTTGTTTCAAAGTTAGGCAGTTTTCTGCTTTGAAAAGCCAAGCAAAAAACAAGCATGTGTTATATTTCATGTACTGTGATGGGAAATATTTGCCCAGGATTTCTTTCGCTCTCTGATAATATTGATAATTTTTTCTCAGTGTTCAATTTACCTTGAATGTATACAAACAATCATTCAAACATTAATATCAATCTTTACCATCTTGTCCTGTTTGGAAAAAGGTGAAAGTTGAACTGAGGCAAAGGTATCCCAAATACAGTATTACAATTTTGCTGTTAGCAACTGACTTTATCTCATGAACAAAAGAAATGATAACACAAGCTTAAAATTTGACATGCTTAAGGTTTATGGGATGCAATAACAAGTGTGTGACAAACAATATTCTTAAGTTGTAAAGTGTAATTATCATGTAACTTTTTTCTTATTTAGAAATTTAAAAAGGGATACCAAAAATACCCAACAGAAAAGTCCCACGCACAACTGTTAGAAAAGGAAAAAACGGTGAAAACACTGAGGGACCAACTTGAGGCGTTAGCATCAACGCTACCACCAGATTACAGTGTAGGTTGACAAGTTAGGTTTACAGGTCACAGTAATCATAACTTATAGTATGAACACATGTTGACATGGCTGAGTTTGATACATGTTGACATTGTTGATGTTGACACATGTTGACACTGTTGATGAATGTGTTGACATTGTTGATGTTGACATGTGTTGACCTTTTTGATGTTGACACATGTTGATATTGTTGATGTTGACATATGTTGACATTGTTGATGTTGACACATGTTGACACTGTTGATGTTGACACATGTTGACACTGTTGATGTTGACATATGTTGACATTGTTGATGTTGACACTGTTGATGTTGACACATGTTGACACTTGATTTTGACATTGCTGATGTTGACACGTGTTGGCACTGTTGATGTTGACATTGTTGATGTTGACACATGTTGATGTTGACATTGTTGACATTGTTGATGTTGACATATGTTGACACTGTTGATGTTGACACATGTTGACATGTGTTGATGTTGACATTGTTGATGTTGACACATGTTGATGTTGACATGTAGACATTGTTGATGTTGATATTGCTGATGTTGACACATGTGGACATTGTTGATGAAGGTGTTGACATTGTTGATGATTATGTTGACTCATGTTGACATTGTTGATGTTGACACATGTTGACCTTTTTGGTGTTGACATGTTGACCTTTTTGATGTTGACATGTTGACCTTTACACATGTTGATATTGTTGATGAAGATGTGACATTGTTGATGTTGACACGTGTTGACATTGTTGATGTTGACATATGTTGACACTGTTGATGTTGACACATGTTGATATTGTTGATGAAGATGTGACGTTGTAAATTTTGATCCATGTTAACATTATCCATGACATGTAATTGTTGACATCTAATATGTCTGTTTTACAGTTACCGTTATCTTTGGGAGAGTCATCACCTGATACAGGGACTGGAGACGCTACACCATGGGTAGGGAATCTTAATACCTTAGCAAAGACTCAATTACTGGGTTTGGATAAAATACACAATAAGATGGACATAAATTAGCTTCGTTTATAAATGGATCTTTCAATAGGTTAATGAATTGACTTTTTGGTGAAATTGCTTTATGTTCCTAGCTCATAACAGAGTGTAAAACATTGGCAAATATGATGAGTCAAAAGTCCAATTAGAAGCTTTAAAATGTTGTGATAATCAGATGGTGATGAGATATGCAAGTAAAGCATATGTATGGTGTAGCCAATGTATGTAAGATATGTGAAATAGTGGATGTCTCTTGTCTGGGTAGGGATGTACATTTTTCTGTTTTGTTCATATTTTAAAGTGATTTCTAAATTTTATGGAAGGTTCTGTCTTAATGTGGCTAATGGAACTTAGATACCTTTACCAGCAGTAGCCCTTGGTCAGTGCTGTGTTAATTTGACTTAAGATGGCTCCTGTATTGTAATATTGGGAAGAATGGGGATCTATAGATGCTGTTGGTATTTGCATTTTAGTAAAGTTTTTCTTTCAAAGGAAATATGCTGGTTACCTTTGACAAAATGTCCAACTTCTCAATAGGTCACTTAGCTTATTAAGCCTAAACCTGTACTAATTTTGTCACAGCTGAAAAGTGGACCCAAACATGTGAAAACAGGGTCCATGCCCGTCACAGTTTATGCCAGTGACCAGGAAATACCTGCTGAAACTCGTGCGGGGGTCGCACGGTCCCAATCCGACGCAGGATCTCGGAACCGAGATCCAGCAGTACTAAAGATTGGGTCACGCCCAGGTGTCAGCCCTGAGGTACGGTGTGCCTGATGCTTGTGTTCTATACAGAATTGCCCACATGTCCTTACCCGCTTACAGCCTGTCGGGCTCTCCGCACTGTTAAATTTTGTTTTTTACTAATTCCATTTATTTCTAGTTTTTTCTTTGATTTTAGTGCAATGACTTGCTAAATAGAAATGAAAAGTATTTATTTCAAGTTTTTAAGAAAACAAAATTTAAAAATTCAGAGTAGTTGCATGTATGTTTTTGTGAATTTGATTCCATAGGAGTCAAATGAGACTATATGTCTATACGAAAACATGCTATTGGTCATTAATCATCAAAGGTAGAGTAAAAGCATTACACCAGGACCACACACATTACTTCCCACACACTCCAGCACATCTCATTGCTGATGAAATTTTCTGTTCTGAACATTTTCCCACCTTCACCACTTGTGAAATTCCTAACCATGTTATCCTTCCCATTATCACAAACATGTTTTGCCATATCACTCTCCCTGACAGTTTTACTGTATGCAGAAAGCACTTTTTCACTCTTACATATTAAGGCATTAAATAATTTTGTTTCAATCTTCATATTTAATTTGAAACCTATTCAAAATATTTTCTGTATTCTTCGTTATATGTTCGACATTAACACTGTAAACTATTGTTGGACAGCGTGATAGGTACCTATCTCTGTGTATATGTTTGACATTAACACTGTAAACTATTGTTGGACAGCGTGATAGGTACCTATCTCTGTGTATATGTTTGACGGTTGTTGTGGAGTCATGACCGCAGGTCACTGTGTCTGTTGTAGCGAACTATGGCCAGTACCAAGAGACGGATGTTTAATAAATTGAAGAAGGTAATGGTCAGTGTGTGTGCTTATATATGACCACTAACACTGGGTTCACTCATATACTACTATCTTCACCGGCCCTTGGGTCAAAATTCAGCACGTTACCCAGCCCTTGGGGTCAAGGTTAGCAAGTCACTTGGCCCAGGGGATGAAGGTGGGCATGTCACCCAGCCCTTGGGTTGAAAGTGGGTATGTTACCTAGCCTCCTGGTTGAAGCAGGGCACATCAACTGTCCCTCGGGTCGAAGATCGGCACGTTACCTTGCCCTCAGGTCGAATGTCGGCATGTCACCCGATCCTTGGGTTGGAGGTCGGCACGTTTCACCGTCACCCAGTTGGATGGTTTTTGTATTCAGAAGAATTTGTTTGCATCCTTAGTTAAGTCTGACCCCAGTGAAAAGACACTATAAGACGTAGGCATTAGTAATTTGACATTTAGGCTTCTACTTTAATCAGAGACACAAAGTTTTATACTTTAATCACAGACACAAAGTCTTCTACTTTAAACAGAGACACAAAGTCTTATACTTTAATCAGAGACACAAAGTCTTATACTTTAATCAGAGACACAAAGTCTTATACTTTAATCAGAGACACAAAGTCTTATACTTTAATCAGAGACACAAAGTCTTATACTTTAATCAGAGACACAAAGTCTTATACTTTAATCAGAGACACAAAGTCTTATACTTTTGTGTGTGTAGTTATTGGAATTTAGTTTAAGGACATTAAGTATCAGTATGTAGACAATAGACAATCAATCATAGATAAAAGCTCAAGGATGCTGTCTTAGCCTTAGTCAAATTACACTTTAAAAGCTTAGACCCAAGTTATTGAACACCAAGTCAAAGATCTTAGTTATTGAACACCAAGTCTGACATCTTTGTCAATGAGCAACCAGTCTTAAACCTTATATTCAATGGGCAGTGAGTCTTAAACCTTATATTCAATGGGCAGTGAGTCTTAAACCTTATATTCAATGGACAGGGAGTCTTAAACCTTATAGTCCATGGACAGCGAGTCTTAAACCTTATAGTCCATGGACAGCGAGTCTTAAACCTTATATTCAATGGACAGTGAGTCTTAAACCTTATATTCAATGGACAGTGAGTCTTAAACCTTATATTCAATGGACAGTGAGTCTTAAACCTTATAGTCCATGGACAGCAAGTCTTAAACCTTATATTCAATGGACAGTGAGTCTTAAACCTTATATTCAATGGACAGTGAGTCTTAAACCTTATAGTCCATGGACAGCAAGTCTTAAACCTTATATTCAATGGACAGCGAGTCTTAAACCTTATAGTCCATGGACAGCGAGTCTTAAACCTTATATTCAATGGACAGCGAGTCTTAAACCTTATATTCAATGGACAGCGAGTCTTAAACCTTATAGTCCATGGACAGCGAGTCTTAAACCTTATATTCAATGGACAGCGAGTCTTAAACCTTATAGTCCATGGACAGCAAGTCTTAAACCTTATATTCAATGGACAGTGAGTCTTAAACCTTATAGTCCATGGACAGCGAGTCTTAAACCTTATATTCAATGGACAGCGAGTCTTAAACCTTATAGTCCATGGACAGCAAGTCTTAAACCTTATATTCAATGGACAGCGAGTCTTAAACCTTATAGTCCATGGACAGCAAAACCTTATATTCAATGGACAGCGAGTCTTAAACCTTATATTCAATGGACAGCGAGTCTTAAACCTTATAGTCCATGGACAGCGAGTCTTAAACCTTATATTCAATGGACAGTGAGTCTTAAACCTTATATTCAATGGACAGCGAGTCTTAAACCTTATAGTCCATGGACAGCGAGTCTTAAACCTTATATTCAATGGACAGCGAGTCTTAAACCTTATAGTCCATGGACAGCAAGTCTTAAACCTTATATTCAATGGACAGTGAGTCTTAAACCTTAGAGTCCATGGACAGTGAGTCTTAAACCTTAGAGTCCATGACGGTAAATCCTGAGCTTTAGACAATAGACAATCAAACAATTTAAGCCTTAGGACCTAGATTTGGAAGAATAATAGTATGAGTGAGTTCTGTGACTGAAGTTTATGATTTTGGGTACTTGAAATTCTAGGGATAAAAGAAAGCAAATCTGAGGACTTGTTTGAAAATTAAAGTTTATGATTTTGGGTACTTGAAATTCTAGGGATAAAAGAAAGCAAATTTGAGGACTTGTTTGAAAATTAAATAATTTTCAGCCATACTGATGATATTTCAGTGAGGGAACATAAAAAGATCAGTAAAGAATCAGGAAATATGATATTATTAAAATTGTAGGGATTTGTCTTTATATGGCAATGGCAAAAAAAAAAAGTTACAAAAAAATGAATTTTTAAAATTTCTTTTTCAATATGTTGATATGCATTTTAGATATTTCTAGCTATAATCAACTTCAGTTTTGTAACAAGGTCATATCAAAAGGTCAATAGGTCATTGAATATATTTATTAGAACAGCCTGACCCTCTCCTCTCCACAAAGAAAAGATTTGTTTTTAATTAAAACTTTGTATGGCAGAAATTTGCAATGTTTTTGATCATTTAATTTCCAAAGGGTTGATCATTTTATTTTCTCTCATGTTCTAACATTTACTCTGTAGTAATGTCGTGTTATATAAGCTAAAATTTTACATAATTTTTGTTAAAAAGTCCACTTTATTGTGATGAATCTGTTTACTACGTCATGAGATAGTAATTACGGAGAAGATTAACTTGGTGGGTGATCAGTGACATGATAGATCTGTGTTGTTACAATGTTACAGTATAAATGTAGATTGTTTTCTTCCTGCCTTACTCACATATTTGATACGATATACAATCTTTATATGAAGTGCACAATATTTGAGACATCACGTAAAAAAAAATTCTGATCCGAGAGTTATGGTATGATTTCTCCTCAAAAGTAAATGATGTGAGACTAAAATTAGATCTGAATAGTCTAACTCTAAGTGAAATTTTACTCTGTACGGAGGTTAAGGGAATATTTTTACAAAATGTGATAAGTTTTAATGAAAACTTTGCCAAATTAGTTAGTACTGCTGATATGGTGTATAATCTTTCTTTTTTCATCAAACTATTCACAATATTTTGCTTTGCTTTAACACAGAATATTAAAGGAAATGGTGGTTTACTTGCTTATACGGAGATACTTCCTTAAATTCTGTGCTTGACAGCGATTTCATCTTTTTTTATCGCTACCAAATAATTCTATGAATACATTTTTACACAATTAAAAATACTTAAACTAAAAAAATTTCCAGATTGCTAAATGCTTGCTTCTTGTAATTATTTTCTTTTTTGGAACCTTTGGTATTAATATAGTGCACTGCATTTACGATGATGGCGTCATTTACGATAATATGAAACCCAGATTGTTCCCAGATGGTCTCTATGCTGTACCTCTGTGCATTAATTCCTGACCTCAGATTCCCGGTAGGGAAGATAAAACTCGACTTTCTATAAAAAGATTATATAACCAGCGGTGTAAAAGAAGAAAGATTAAGATGAAATCTAAGAAAAGAAAGAAAATTGGTAAATTTTCATTTTTTTTTTCCCCCATGACTAGGATAGATTTGTTAATGCCCATAATTATAGCTGTACATAGGGTACTATTCACATGTATGATAACAGTGGTAAAATTCTCCCCACCCTACCTCTTTTCTTTTTCTCCATGTTAAAATCATTCTAATTCATCATTTGTCTGATTTAATGTCTTTTTTATCATTTATTCTTCAATATCAATAACACATTTGACTTAATTAGCCAGTTTCTAAGGACAATTAATATAAGCCGAAATTTGTCTTCCTGAGATTTTGTCTGGTTTATTGTTTGTTACAATCTTTAAAATATCTTCTTTATCTTGAAAAACACATTCTTCTTCCTAAAACATCAAATTCTAATTGGAAACATGAATTTACTCAATACTTCTCAAAAAAGAGAAATTTTTGAAACACATAATTTCTTCTGTTTGGCCTTGTCCGTTTAGAGTGTGCAAATACATGTTTGATAAGAATTTGTTATGATTTATAAATAACCCTTACACCATAACAGAGGGACTTTGTGTTTTGGTTTCTAGTCTCACAACTAGCTTATTACTAGACTGATCAGCTTGTACAAAATTGATTTCCTTTGAAAAGGTATGGAAAAGATTTTAACTGAAAACTGTCTCAGTTGAACTAAGAAACAAGAAATCTGAACGTTTCAGGATTTGTGTGTCAGATTTAGAAATACATGGTCAAGTTTGATCACATTAATTTCTCTTTAATTCCCAGAAGTTGGACACAGATGATGTTTTGTTGGGGTATTTATATGTTGATTTGATCCACTAATTCTAAAAATGATGGCTTTGGAATTATAGTCTATTTCTAAATTGTGGTTTTCCTGTAATATGACATTTTCTAAATACCCTTAAAAATTATAGTCAGTTTCAGCGTTCATTCAAATTCAAATTATGATAGATGTTTCTAAAAATACTCAGGAATTCAATAGTAAGGGGCGTTCAACAGCGAATAGAAATTTCATCAGAGTGAATTTAGAGTTAAAGGAATTGATGTATTTTACAGGGTATTGGACTTATATAGAGAGGAATTTAAAGATACACACATTGAAGGAAATATGTGGGAAGTCAGTAGAAGATATATACTATATATCTATGTACAGTAAAACCTAGGTCTGACATGCATGGAGTTTAAATAGTTGAGTTAGGTTAGATGACATTGACAGCAGTGCATGTAATGGTTGTGTTCAGTGGCGTGTAACCGCCAGTCAGGCGCGACCTACCTGTGCATGGCGTAATGTGGTCTCCCCCACACCTGACATAACAAGATACAGGTAATGAGTCTCTTGGCAGGTAAGCATGTGACCTAGTACATCAGGGCTGTGTTAAGATAGGACTTGTTACAGGGATAAATGACAGTGTTAGAGGAGGGACAGAAAGGTGGTGTTAGGGGAGAGACAGAAAGGTAGTGTTAGAGGAGAGACAGATAGGGAGTGTTAGAGAAGGGACAGATAGGTGGTGTTAGAGGAGAGACAGAAAGGTAGTGTTAGAGGAGGGACAGAAAGGTGGTGTTAGGGGAGAGACAGAAAAATGGTGTTAGAGGAGAGACAGAAATTGGTGTTAGGGGAGAGACAGATAAGGAGTGTTAGGGGAGGGATAGAAGTGATGTTAGAGAAGGGACAGAAAGGTGGTTTTAGAGGAGAGACAGAAAGGTGGTGTTTGGGGAGAGACAGAAAGGTGGTGTTAGGGGAGAGACAGAAAGGAAGTGTTAGAGGAGGGACAGATGTGGTGTTAGGGGAGGGACAGAAAGGTGGTGTGAGAGGAGGGACAGAAGTGGTGTTAGAGGAGGGACAGAAAGGTAGTGTTATAGGAAGGACAGAAAGATGATATTAGGTGAGGGATAGAAAGATAGTGTTAGAGGATGGACAGAAAGGTGGTGTTAGGGGAGGGACAGAAATATAGTGTAAGAGGAGGGACAGAAAGATGGTGTTAGGGGAGGGACAGAAATGTAGTGTTAGAGGAGGGACAGAAAGATGGTGTTGGGAGAAGAACAGAATGGCTCTTTTAGAGGATTGACAGAAAGTTGGCATAAAGGGAGGGACAGAAATGTAATGTCAGGTTGAATGTTGTTTCACAGTTGAACTTGTAGATTATTGAAGGCGAGAGATGAAGCCTCGCATGCTGGGTCTGTGATTTGTTTTGGTTTGATATAATGTTGAAAAATGTGTTTCATGGAACACTGACACCAAGCGCCATCTGTGGACAGATACCAGCATGTTTACCAGTACTTCTTTGTAGCATGTGAACAGTGTTGAAAGAAAGAGGGTAAACCAGTGCAAAATATACCTGTGTATGCCAAGGGCCAAAACATTTCTGCCACCTCAGGGCATTCTGGCTCCAGTCTGGGTTAGCAAAATGTTTGTGCTTTACCTAAAATCAAACATACATATGTTAATGAAGTCTAGGTCATCTTGAACCTTGTATTAAATAGTACACCAAATTTAATATCCATGTGAGTTGTCATGTTGTGTATTTTATGATGAATTGAAAATTAGAATATGATTGCAGAATAATGTTTTGCTGCAAATAGCAAAATTTCTAAATGTATATACTGGTACATATGAATGATATTAATTACAAAAGGATATTGCAAAATTCCATAGTTTCACCTCCTGAATAAAATATGGTTCACTGTTACATGTATGTATATGTAGAGAAATCATTTCTTCAAGTCATGTCCATCTTAATATTTATGCGACTTTATTTCGTTTACCTGTAGGGGAAAAAAAAGTCAGAATAGTAAACCTTTGTTTCAGGAAATTAAGATTGATGTTTCTGTTTAGAAATCATTTGATCTCAGCTTGTTTAAAGGTGTATATACTCATAGCAAATAAAATCAAAATGTGTTTGTACAGCAAAAAAGATAGGGAATACTCAGATTGGTTATTCTTGTCTCTTACTTCGTTTCATGTGTATTGTTTAGCTGCCAGTCAGTGTAAATTCTAAATTTAATTATGGTTAAAATTTTATTGTTCTTTTAATCATTTATAAAGCTATATCATTGTCAATTCTGTGCTGATAAAATGTCTTTTTTCACAGAAGTGACAGGGCTGCAGACTGGGGAAGAATTTAAGAGGTGTAAAGTGATATGATTAATTAAACTGATTGATCTTCATTTCAGTCTACGTCAGCGCCCAGCACTGCTGTGGATGGTGGTAGTTTCTCTGATTCTCCCGCTCATAGTCCCAACGCATCGCCCACGCCTACACATCCTGCCAACTCCCGCCTCGGCGAGGAGTCCGACTTAGCCACAAACGTAGATGTAACTATCCTATTTTATTTCATCATTAATGAAAAATATTTAATATATTGAACTGTTTTATGCTCTAAATGCTGTTCCTTGTTAACTATTAAAATAGGATAAACAAATGAGAATGTTTTGTGATTCAGTGTAGCAACAAAGCTTTATAAATCATGAAATTTAAAATCTTAAAATTTTGAAAAAATAATATAATAAAGAACCATTTGAAAGCTAGCAGTCTTTTAAAGAAAAATGATAGATACAAAATATTGATTGGGGAACAGGTATCGATATTGCATAGTGATGATAGGTCTAGATATTCATGAAGCAGTCTAAGGGAGACAACTCTATTATTTCCTTTAAAGTTATTTGAACAAAAATAAGTGCACAACAGGTTTTGGTGTTGCTAACTTGATTAAAATTTCTTATAAAAGGTTTGAAGTTTTTTGATTTCCTAAATTTTGTTAAAAATCAAAGTGTTAGTTAAGCGAGTGTTTTCAATAATTGCAATATTCCATGTCAGTATACAAAAATATGGTCATGTACATATTATGCTTAATTTTCTCAAAAGTTTGAAATTTCTGGTATTATTCGGATGTCATAAAAAATGAACTTAAAATTGATTAATCTTATTTAATCATTATTCTTTAATTTGTTTGTAAATTCCTGGATACAGGATTGATTCCTTTAGAGGATGAATAATATTATTAAATATATTGACTGCCCTTCTCTGTCACAAGATAACTTGTTCAGACTAAAGTTGTTTTTATGGAACAGCAGGAAGATCCCAGAACTATGGCCAACATTTTAGATTATCTTGCTGCATTTTTAATTTCTCAGCGCCATAATAAGTTTGATTTAAATCTTAAATATGAAATAAATATTTGCTGATGACTAATGTGGTGTTGAGATTCTTGCTCGTATTGTCATAGTTAATGACTTGTTATATTGACTTTTTTCAGGTTTCAGTGTTTTATATTAAAAGTTGTTGTTTTATTCAGGATCCTACTGTAAACAACACCAGCAAACCTGAAGGCCCTCAGCGGTTCATTATAGCAATGGAGGACGATGAATTTGAGTCTGATGAGGAACATGCTCGGGTAAGTGTTACCTCCCTTGTCATCAGTTCCTGCGATATTCAGATTGTACATTAACATGATGCTGTAAAGCTATGATTTCATGATGTTATTACGAGGGAAAATGCTTTTATATAGATTTAACTTCATAGAGAAAAGATTGTTCAGTGGTTACAACTGTGATTGTAATATTTCAAAGTTACCTCCCTTTCTAGGGCAGTTACCATAAGAATATGTAGTGATCTGTAAGCAGTTGCCTCCCTTAAAATTATCTCCCTTGTCAGAATAAACCTTCCTTTTCAGCAATGATTTCCCTTTCCCAGATCTGACAACACATGTAGATACATAAGGTTTATAATAATGGAACACAATATGTTTAACATTACTGGATATTTTGTTTCTGAACCTGCCAATTTTTTTATTCTAATTTTTTCTTTTTCTTTTACTTTGCTTAGTTCTTGACACATAACTCCACAAATACCATCTGTACTGCACTATTTTTCATTATAACCTATTCACTGTAATGATTTTTGTTCCAATAATCTGTATATATGTATCTCCAGTATTTCGCTTTACAGGGGAGATAACCTGTTGGAATGAAACAAATTTGATCATTGACCTTTTAAAGCAAATTGTTGATAAGGATTGTCTCCCCTGTAGGATTGTCTCCCCTGATCAAATCCATCTGGCTTTTTGATGTTACACTTCTGGTTTACAAATGTTCCTGCTAAATGGTTCACCTGACTTAGTTTTTACAATATAATTCTAAGATAGATCTACACGGATTCTTCAGTATAAACATATTAAACTATGTTTATGTGAAGAACCATGAAATTTAATAGCTCATTATAAAAGTGGTTAATGCGGTCAGTTTGATGTTGCTTTCAGCCTTCATCAGAGAGAAAGACCTCTCAGCCTGTTGTGTCCTCATTCCTGGCCCGACTACAGACCCTGGAGGTTTACATTACATTTATCATTGCTATGGGGCTTTTATTCACTTTATCATTCTGCTGACCTCATCTCAACTCTGAATGACCTCTGACCTTTTGTTGCTTTAACCGATGCTTATCTCAGACCCTTTTCCCTCTTAATTTTACACAAATTCAAACTTTGATCTCATATATTGTTTACTGAAGCATAGCTTTTGCAGATTTACAACTCTCTTTATACTGCATAAAATCATGACTCCTCATTTATAATATCTGACCTTTGACTGTACATATCACAATCATGCAAACTTTGACATTTGACCTCACATCCACCTTTTTCAGAACTGTTTGAGGTCAAATCTCTCATCTCTGCTTCCATTCAACCACATTTATCTCCTCTTTCATCATCTGTACAATATCTCATCTCTATTTCACCATCACTGATTGAAATCTGAACTCTTCAACATTCACTAACTCCCCTTCAAACTCTTCATCACTCACTACTTGACCTCTGACCTCTTGTTTCCACTACTAACTGTAACATCTGACCTCACAATTTCTCCACAAAGAAAGTGTTTGCCCTCATGTTGTGATTTTCAAAATTGAAAACTGTCTTTTTCAAGAATGCCTTTCACTATGAAATATTCACTAAAATTTTGCAAAAAGATTGAGGATACAACTTGTGCTGAATTTGTGGTCATGTCATTTCACTGTTTCATAATAACCTCTGTGTCCTGTTATCAGGCACCGTATATGTATTACACAGTATAAATATATAGTTCGACAATAAACAATACTCCTCACTTGTGTTACCTTAATGTTCAGTTCTAGAATGTACTAAACCGTAATTGAGGTAGTTCCTTATATAGGTGTTTAATTATATTGTGTGTAAGCAGAATCTCTCTTTCATCTAAATAGGTCGAACCGTACTATATTGTAGTAGACAGTAAATTATCACTTCATGTTAAAAGACAGGAAGGTAAAGATACATCTATAAGCATATGAACATCTGATGGGAGGTAATTTTATCCAAAATAAAATAATTGTTGATAGAAAGCATCGTATATATCAATCTCCAGATCGATAAGACTTTCTGATGGCTATTGTTCAAGTCATCTTACTTTTGGCTCTTAGTTTGAAATGTGCGCTTGCATTTCCAATTATAGACAATTAGGAGGTTTTTTAATCTTGGGTATATATTTCTGTGTGTATATTCATTTATCTATGTTCATATATATAAATGTGTGTTTGTGTTTATATGTTTAAAAAATTGTGTCTGCCTGCTATTAAATTCAATATGCAATTTCTGATTAACAAAGTGGAACACTTGAACTCATCAATAGTAATTAATGGTCAGCTGTTAATGAACATTCGCTCACATGTGATTTTTTTTTTTTGGAAGTTTGTCATTGGGAATAAACACACATTTAATTAATAATAATTATAGAACAATACAGCCTTTTCTGTTGCTTCAAACTTGTTTTTGGATCAACAATTTGTGAAAGTTAGTATTCACACAAAGAAAAGAAAAAAAAAGAGAGAGAATTGGTTCAAAGTTTGCTGAATACACAACAGCCAACTAACCTGTCTATATGTAAACAGATATAGTGCTTATTTACCTTTTCTTCCCTGAATTTCTTAATAGAGTTGAAGTTTTTTGAGCTGATGTACTTTGTATCAAACTAAAATCAATAAAAAAAGTTGTGTGACCTAAGAACAGAGTGGTTAACCTTTGTATTGTTTTTCAGACGGACGACCATGGTCCCTTCAACAGTTTACGACAGTTGGACAACAAGCCAGCTCACACAGCAATCTTCCTCAATTTTCTCCTTGTCGAGAACCATGATCCTTCTGCTTTTGTGAGTTATCTCCCTTATTTATTACCAAGGGGTTGCCATGTTGGAAGGCAATTCTGGAATATTAACCAGAACTGCTGACACTCACATAGCACTTAAAATCTGTATGAGTAATATGACGTTAAAAATGTTACATGCATTTAAAATTTTGTTTTATGTTATTATCCCTGCTATTAAAAGAAACTTTTTGTTCTTATTCAAAATTTCACAGCATGTTTATAGATTAATTTATAAATAAGAAAGATCTCTCGTTTGATATATATATTGATGATTATGTGTTTCAGCTGTTCTACGTCACAGCCAGTTTGTATAATACTGCTAAAGGTGGACTCCAGGATTGGAAAAAATGGGCATATGAAATTTACTCCACGTTTCTAGTCGATGGAGCGGTTAGTATTTCACATAATATTGAATTCAGAGGCCATCAAGTTATCCTGGTATTTTTGTTTCACTACACTACATTGTTTCCTGGATGTTTCTGTATTTATGTTGTAGTTATTGTTTTCATTATCTGAAATGATAAATTTCAATTGAAATACAATACTGGTTTTGTTTGTAATAATCTTTTACCTGTTTGTTCATTTTTTGTCAGCCTCTGAAAGTCAACATTAATGAAGAAGTTGGTTTGGGGGTCAAAGGAGTTCTGGAGAAGGTGGAAAAGGTGGAACAAGAAGAAAACATGAAGACTGTCTTTCTTATTGCCCACCAGGCAGTTATGGACGAGATTGAATCACAACTCACCATGTTTAGACAAAAGAAAGATATGGGTATGTGTTCCATAACAAATTCTTCATTAAGTTGTTTATTGTAAATAAATCTTATAACTCACCAATTTTAGGCAAAAATTAATGAGATTATGTTCCTACCACAGACACCAATTTTAGACAAAGAATCAATGGGATTATGTTTTTACCACAGACACCAATTTTAGGCCAAAATTAATGGGATTATGTTCCTACCACAGACACCAATTTTAGGCCAAAATTAATGGGATTATGTTCCTACCACAGACACCAATTTTAGGCAAAAATTAATGGGATTATGTTCCTACCACAGACACCATTTTTAGACAAAGAATTAATGGGATTATGTTTTTACCACAGACACCAATTTTAGGCCAAAATTAATGGGATTATGTTCCTACCACAGACACCAATTTTAGGCAAAAATTAATGAGATTATGTTCCTACCACAGACACCATTTTTAGACAAAGAATCAATGGGATTATGTTTTTACCACAGACACCAATTTTAGGCAAAAATTAATGGAATAATGTTCCTATCACAGACACCAATTTTAGGCAAAGAATTAATGGGATTATGTTCCTACCACAGACACCAGTTTTAGGCAAAGAATTAATGGGATTATGTTCCTACCACAGACACCAATTTTAGACAAAGAATTAATGGGATTATGTTTTTACCACAGACACCATTTTTAGACAAAGAATCAATGGGATTATGTTTTTACCACAGACACCAATTTTAGGCAAAAATTAATGGAATAATGTTCCTATCACAGACACCAATTTTAGGCAAAGAATTAATGGGATTATGTTCCTACCACAGACACCAGTTTTAGGCAAAGAATTAATGGGATTATGTTCCTACCACAGACACCAATTTTAGACAAAGAATTAATGGGATTATGTTTTTACCACAGACACCAATTTTAGGCCAAAATTAATGGGATTATGTTCCTACCACAGACACCAATTTTAGGCAAAGAATTAATGGGATTATGTTCCTACCACAGACACCAATTTTAGGCAAAGAATTAATGGGATTATGTTCCTACCACAGACACCAATTTTAGGCAAAGAATTAATGGGATTATGTTCCTACCACAGACACCAATTTTAGGCAAAGAATTAATGGGATTATGTTCCTACCACAGACACCAATTTTAGGCAAAGAATTAATGGGATTATGTTCCTACCACAGACACCAGTTTTAGGCGAAAAATCAATTTTTCATTATTTGATTTATTAGTTTTATCATTAAAAAAAATCAGGAATGGCCGTCATATTTGTGGGATTTTCTGTGATTTATGTTTAATGTCTTTGCTATCCCAAACTTCAATCAGGGTGATACCATCAAAGTTTTACTGTTTAAAGCTAAGGACTTTTTATCAGAATGGATAGTAAAAACACTAACCATTTCTTTTGCATTGAAACAGTATGTTTTCACTGTGTGTAAGATTCTTCTGTTGTTTACTTTGAAATCATTCATTTTTGTGGAGGATTATTTTCATTGATTTTTTGGGTACCATTATTCACAAATTCAGATGTCCATGAATTTCAATAATTTGTTTACAGACATTTATTGAGATATGTTATCCATGAAATCGAAATATCCATAAAATTTTCAGGAAATCACAAAAATTGAACCCCTTGAAAATATATGCTTTTAGTGTTAATAATAACTTCTTTGTTTGTTAAAAGTGTGTTATCATTGTTTTTATATGTCAGAGTGTAAGATTGTTGATGCTGTTTCAGGTATGGGTAATATGTTTGGTGCTCACGAAGTGAGGGACAGCATGAAGAAACGAGAGGAAATGGAAGTTATAGAAAAATATCTGTTAAAACACCTGGATAAGGCACTGTAAGTAAAGTCAGCAGGCGGGTCAGTATTCTAGAGTATTTTGTGCTGCCATAGATCATTTATTTAACATAAATATTTGTATCTTTATCTTTTACTTTTAACATTTGAACAGATTTTCATGGTCTTGCCTTTTTTCACTGGTTTTGGACAGGACACTTTTGCCTTACTTTAGAAGAAAATGAGTGAATTGGGAAAAATATTTTCAGGAGTAAATTTTAAATTTGAGGAAATATGGCTTAAATATGAAAGTATTGCAATGGGGAAGAAGGCCAATTATCGGCCTTCAAAAATCCCCCAGAAAACCTTAAATATAATTAATGTAGTGTTGTTGTCCTACAATAAGACCACCCTTGTTCTGATAGATATGTGTTGACGCCCTGGGCTTATTACATGATACCTACATCTCAGATGTTTGTTAAGGCCCTTGTGTTTTTTATAATGGACTCTAGGAGTATGAATATCTTGTGTTTACCAGACAAACAGATTCAGATATAAAGAATGACCGCGAGCAGGCCGTGTCCTGGGCACTCTCTACATTCCTCCGCTATGTGGGATACAATAAACACAATTCCAGTCTAGACAAGGTGCCCAGCTTTGTCTGTAGAGACAGGAAGGGCATCCGCCTCTCCAGCAAACCCACAAAACGGGTAAATATTTCCGCTGTATTGGTAACATGTATTCAGGTCATAGAAAGGCTTGAATGTAATCAAGGTTTATTTTATTGAAAAGCAATTTAAGATCAAAATTTCTATTAATTTGTTGTTTCCATGATTAATAAACTGTATGTAATGAGATAATTTATCTAACAGATAAAATTTGTAAGATCTCTATGTCTTAATATGAACTTTGTGTTTCAGCCACATAAGGGCCATAATTTTGAGCCAACCCATTACACCAAAGTAGAGACATGTATGTTTTGTAAAACTGTGATATGGGGAGTGGGCTACCAGGGATACTTCTGTAAAAGTAAGTTTTGTTACTATGGTTACTTCTGTAAAAGTAAGTTTTGGTTACTATGGTTACTTCTGTAAAAGTAAGTTTTGGTAACTAGGGATACTTCTGTAAAAGCAAATGTTGGTTACTATGGTTACTTCTGTAAAAGTGATAATTAGTAACTAGTGTTGTTGTGTAAATGTATCAGAGAGGGACAATGAAGAATGAAAATTAGTCTCAATATGAATCTATCGATACATAATTCCAAAGAAAACTCAAGTTGTTCAAAGGAAGTGAAAGAAAGATGAGTCAAGGTAGAGATTTCTGTTGAGTGAGGAAGGATTGATCTTATTTACAGATTGTGAACAAAATATACATACTCGGTGTATAGAGAAATTAGAGGACAGCTGTAAGAAGAAAGATAAGGACAACAAGCGTCCATTATCTAATATATTTAAAGGGAACCGTGAGTAACCCTAGATGTTTTTCTGTGTATTTTGTCTAGTTCCTGAAAGTATCCACCTTAGGCAAACCTCATTATTATGATATCTGTTTATAATATTCTGTTTGGGAAGGTCAGAGTGATGGAATGTTTTCCATCTTCTGGAATAACAGACAAAATATAATTATGAAATCTGACTCTGAAAACAAATAAGAAACTGTTTTGTGTGCATTTTTAATGAAATGCCTTTTATTTTGTGTGTATCTGTATTTGAAATAATTATTTTTCATTGAATAAAGAGGTTTGACTCTTGGTTTGATATAGTAAATGATGTTATTGTTTCCTTGATATGATTTTAGATGATATGAAATATTTGTGTAAATATTTTTCTTTTATATATATATTTTTTTTTCAAATTCTATTAATTTCTTTTTGAATGCATTGTGGATGTTTTTTCCGTGATATTCAGAAAGAAAACTGTACAAAAGAGAACTTTTTCTACATGTATGTTTATACTGAAGTCTGAAAGCTTTATGTAATGGATAGAATTCTATTGGAGATAATTTGATCTTTACCTTTAAAAACATCAGATAAAAAAATCAGGAAATAGATAAAAAAAGATGTACATTACAAAAATAAAGCAAGTGAAATGATGAATGCAGTAATAATGATAATTTTTTCATACGTTTTGCCAAAAACAAGTAAAAGAATGACAACACACTGTACAGTATTTATTTTTGAATATAGCACAGGCCTCCAAGAAGCTCATTGATTTAAGTAGCCATTTAAAGGTTATTCAAAATTTTACCTCGAGTTTGATAACACGTATGTTACAGTGATGCAAAAGTATTCTACTAGCAATGAAAAAAATCTTGAAAATTTTACTCACCACTCGATACAGGACTTAAATCTTTCATATTCTGTTTTCTACTCAGATTTTTGAGTGATTTACTTGGTGGTTTGCAATTGTATGCAATTTTGAAAAAGTCCTACCTGGTACATAATATTTATTTTTTGTTGCTATGATCCTGGTGATGCATGGTTGATACCCTGTAACTAATTAATGTTTGTATTTAACCTGGATGTGATGGTTGTAAGATTTGCCTGCAAACTTTCAATTGTTATAGGTGATATTCGCAAAAGCGTTTTGCCCGAGCTTGTCATCTCAGGTAGAGTTATCTCCCTTGTTTGTACTGTGTCCCTCCTCCTACCCAAGGGGGTGTGGCAGCCATGCTTTATCCTATTATAACCCATGCTTTTTTTGTAACACAAACTTGGAAATCATGTTGATAAATGAAAATATAATTAAATTGACGATACATATATCCTCAACGATATATGGGTGGGAACAAAATATAAAAAATAATTATTTGAAATTTTCTTTTTGATTATGAAGGGTGTCATTAAGGATAACAGTAATTAACATGAATTTCCTTGTTTGTAACTAGAGCAGTGTGAGTTGGAGTGAAGGGTGCAATTACTGGTCACTGTAGACTGACCAATGGTCAGCTAGTATTTGAGATCTGATGCCAGTGTGATATATAAGTTAAATAGGTTTAAAAGTAGGTTTTTATAATAACATGTCTGTTTCCATAACAAGTTTGTTTTCATTCCAACAAGTCTCTTTCTATACCAACAACTGTTTCTACACGAGAACTATATACTGTTTACATGTAAACAACTTTCTTCCTAAGTAACAATACTACTCATAGTAACATTCCTGTTTCCATTTTAACAACATTGTTCTAAAATCAACATTAGTGCCAATACATTTCTCAAAGTGAAAACATTGTTCCCAAGGTAACAACAATGTTAATGTAGTAATGCTGCTTCCATAGTAACAACACTATACAGAATGCAGGTCTTGGTGGAATCAGTGTTAAAATGGCAGTAAATATTTTATGTCCATAACACCTTTGTCTTGTCCTGTTTTAGACATTGTAATACATTATTGTCAGGAGCATGTTAGTATGTTGATTTATTGGGATATGGCATGTCTGTTTATTCAATGAAAAGTTTGCATACAATCTGGTGTGGGATGAATGATAGGGTGTAAAAAGTCACTATAAATATTGTATAATATATATCCCTGTAACACTTACACAAATCCATTGTATATATAAACTTTACCAAAACATGTGTATACTACTGACCATGCACGGAACCAATATTTATCGACAAATTAATGAAATCACTTGTCTATTCCATTGCTCTACCTCTGTCATAGACATCAACATCTACAATTTATGTTAAGACTTCTGGTCAAAGTTATAACAGATCATTCATAATGTCACATACTTTACAATGACATCAAATTCAACCAAGAGTTATTCAGTTTATTCAACCCTGAGCTAATCAGTTTATTCAACCCAGAGCTAGTCAGTTTATTCAACCACAAGTTACGCAGTTTATTCAACCCAGAGTTACTCAGTTTATTCAACCCAGAGTTACTTAGTTTATTCAACCCTGAGCTACTCAGTTTATTCAACCCAGAGCTAGTCAGTTTATTCAACCACAAGTTACGCAGTTTATTCAACCCAGAGTTACTCAGTTTATTCAGCCCAGAGTTACTTAGTTTATTCAACCCTGAGATACTCAGTTTATTCAACCCAGAGTTAGTCAGTTTATTCAACCACAAGTTATGCAGTTTATTCAACCAAGAGTTACTCAGTTTATTCAACCCAGAGCTAGTTAGTTTATTCAACACAGAGCGAGTCAGTTTATTCAACCCAGAGTTACTCAGTTTATTCAAACAGACAAGTAAAAATGTTATGTTTTAATTATTTCACCAATTTCTGAGGTTTAGCAATAAAGTAAAATCTCTTTTGTATGGCTAGTTAGATATGCTGCTTCTTCTTTTATTATGGAACTTCTGAGGTTTTATAGTAAAGTTTCTTTCTCACTTGTGGCTAGTTAAGATATGCCTATGTTTTCCTTGGAGTACTTTTAAAAACAAAAAGAAAAAAAATAGTTTGATCTCTTCAGACAGAGGTATTTAAAAAAAGAAAAGAAAAAAATCAAGTTAAATCTCAGATGGAGGTATTTAAAAAAGTAAAGGAAAAAATATAGTTTGATCTCAGATGGAGACTTTTTTCTTGAATAACTAGAATGGTTTAATAAATTGGTATTTGTTTTTCTGTTAAAATAAATTGATCAAACCATTTTTTTTCCAAATCACAAAATGACAAGTGTTTCTGACATTATAACTCTGTATTTTTGCTAGCATGTAAATTGTACTTGTATATGAAATACTGAGACTGATCAATTGAAATCTTTTTCTCGAATATTGAACCTCTCCTTTTAACTGCATCTTTTGATGTAGCTAGACCTCCGTCATTCTGATGTTGAACTGTCTCCTATCACTCATATCTGCTCTAAGCATCCTCTTGACATGTGCAAACTGCAGTACCTTGCTTTTGAATTCTCTCTGCAGTTTGTGGTTACATAGGAGAGTTATTACAAATAAAGTTTCTGACACACAATCTTCAAACAATAACATAAAAATAGTAATTAAGATTTGTTCTTTTTAAAATAAATTTTATTGAAACTCGTTGGAAAATGCTAATCTTGAAATGTTGATTGATTCCCTAAATTTGGTTATTTTTGCTGGTCAAACTTTTCATGATTTTTATTTAAAACTAAATATTATCTGTTTTAAGAGAGTTTAAATATTGTGACTTGTATAAAGTACCTTATTTGCAGAATTTCCCATTAGATAGGTTAGCCTGGCCGATCTGTTGTGTCCCACAGGGTGTCAGATTAGACAGGTTAATCTTACTAATGTCGTGTACCCTTCATGGTGCCTGATTGGACAGGTTAATCTGACCAATATGTCCCACAAGTTGTCAGATTAGACAGGTTAATGCAACTAAGACCTGTCATGCAGTGAGTCAGTTAAGACAGGTTAATTTGACTAATAGGTTGTGTCCAACATGATGTCAGATTAAACAGACTATCTTGACCAATATATGGTGTACTACAGAGGTTCAGAGAAGACAGGTTAATCTGACCAATATGTTGATTTCAACAGGGTGTCAGATTAGACAGGTGCCTGATTGCACAGGTTAATCTGACCAATATGTTGATTTCAACAGGGTATCAGATTAGACAGGTACCTGATTGCACAGGTTAATCTGACCAATATGTTGTGTCCCACAGGGTGTTGACTTAAACAGGTCTATATACATAAATTGTTTATATATCAATAAAGATCAAAATATATATCTTACTAAGATTGTAAAAAGGTTGAGTATTGTAAACTTTAAAGTGGTATTTGGGTCTGAATTAGGCATATCGTTACTGTTGCTTGATGTGACAAACTTTTCTTTAAGGCCAAACGATTAAAGAGAGTGAGGTTTCTGGCAGTCCGGGACCCCAAGTTACAACTAGCTTTGAAATACAGGCAGTTAAGGATGAGGATGATCCAGATCTGCGTGAGTTTTTTGAAGAAAAATGATGAAATAAGAGAGATTTTTTTTATTTAATTGGCTTCTTCTGATTTAAGCCAGAATCAATACTGTTAAAATCAGATTTAATCACTTGAATGATTAAAAAATTTTACTGAATATGGTATTGCTACAGTTGATCATTCATTAAAGCTGTCAATTTAATATACAGTTGAACCTTGTTTTCTCGAACTCAGCAGGACCATGGGAAAACTTTGAGTGAACAAAGTATTCTCTATTTATGCAATTTAAGTGAGTTCAAATGTTTTGTGTATAGTTTGGCAGGGAACTACGAAACACTTCAAATTAAACATGGTCTTCGAAGTTATACGAGTTCCAGATAACGATGTTCGACCATAAAATTTGCATAGAGCTCTTTATTTATTTATTTGTAGAAAAATACTTTGATGTTAAGGGGATTATTTTGAAAATCACTTTTAGTTTGATAGAAAATTTAATTTAACATCGTAGTTGATAAGAACAACCTGAATGTCGCTGTCAATTATAGGGCAATTTCAGCTAATATTCTGACATAGAAATTTACACACAATGGATGTAAATTTCAGATCAACTTCGAACCGACGCCCACTCTGTGAGCAAGTTGGTGACCCGGTTTGACCAGCTTGTACCATCACCTGCAGATAAGCGTCGTTCACCAAGTCAGCTGACTGAGCCAGAAATGCACAGGTAAGGTTTATCTCCTAAGCTTACCAGTTGTAAATCAATCACATGCTGCAGCAGTAAAACCAAATTGTAAATAAGTGCACCAATCACATGCCTCAACAGGTAAGCCAATCACAAACCATAACAGATAAGACATTCATATGCAAGCAATGATGTTCCAGTCACATTCTGCAGCAGGTAAGCTTATCACTGATGTTGAACATTTAACCAGTCTGAAGCTTTGTCAGGTAAACCAGTGTCTGACTACGAACGTCAGTGATCGACCATTCACACTATTTCTGGTTCAATGAACAAACACTATTAATTCTATTTCTCATTTCCCAGACTTTTGTTATTATGAGAGTCAGATATTTCCTGCATCATTTAGAAAAAAAACATTTGAAACAATTTAAAGAGAAGAAAGAAAAAAGTATAAATTTAGCTTTGAAAATCCAAAAGGTAATGAAAGATATGAGAAGAAATAAAGATATTTCTTATATAATCTCTCAAGATTTGTGATCATTTTATATATGTTTGTTTGTCCTTCATTTCATCTATCTGTCTTTCCTATACAAGTGTTTGTCCATTTTTCTTTCTAAGAGAGTCTTCTTCCTTCTTTCTTGTCTGTATGTATTCGTTCACCTTTCCTGCCATTTTTTTTCTCTGTCAGTTCTTCTGTCTTTCATTATATGTATTTCTAATATCCTTCATATATGTGAGTCTTTAATTATCTGTATGTCCAAGTCTTTCTGTCTTTATGTCTGAGTCTTTCTGTCTTTATGTCCGAGTCTTTCTGTCTGTATGTCTGCGTCTTTCTGCCTTTATGTCCAAGTCTTTCTGTCTGTATGTACCAGTCTTTCTGTCTTTATGTCTGCGTCTTTCTGTCTGTATGTCCGAGTCTTTCTGTCTGTATGTCTGCGTCTTTCTGTCTGTATGTCCGAGTCTTTCTGTCTGTATGTCTGCGTCTTTCTGTCTGTATGTCTGCATCTTTCTGCCTTTATGTCCAAGTCCTTCTGTCTGTATGTACGAGTCTTTCTGTCTTTATGTCTGCGTCTTTCTGTCTGTATGTCCGATTCTTTCTGTCTGTGTTTCTGAATCTTTCTACCTGTGTGATTTTTGCACCTTGCTTTGGTGGTGTTACTGATTAAAGCAGTAAACTAGCACCAGCTAATCTAACCATGGAGATGGCTGCACAAACTTAACTGTCTATAAAGACCACCCAGTAGGGGAACAGTAAACCTACAGAGTAGATGGACTTAATAAACTGATAGCAACAAAAAAAATATATTGTTCTTCAAATGGTAAAGGTCATATACCATGTAGTAACCCTTACAGACAGGTAGATGTTTTTTCTGTTTAGTTCTCTGTCTTTTAAACACCTTTTTTTATTGTCGGTGTATTTATACATAGTAAAATTAAGCAGTTGGGTTAAATACCAAAGCATTTTTTTTTTTTCAATTTTCCCGATTTTATACACTTAACCATAGAAAAATATGAAGAATTCTTTCTTTCTGTAGACAAATGACAATCAGAAACACCAATGAAGAGTTTCAATTTTGTGTTGATATTAATAGCTGTGAGAATTTCCCTTTTCTATATTTAGAACAAAGAGAACCTGCTTTCTATATTTAGATTAAGCTAGGCTTTCTGTTAGATTTAGATGAGTTCAGCTTGGTGACTGATATACCTGCTTTCTATAAATAGTCTTTATATAGTTTGTTTGAGTGGTTTTACGTCTGCAATAGATGTACTGGTTAGAGAGTAGTTTGGCAAGTTTTATTGTGGATTCCAAGAATTAAAATCATTACGATCTCGGAGAATGGCAAGATCAAAACACAACAACAATACATGTCTGTTCCTCTTGCCTCGTTGTCTTGTCTGCCATTATTTCTCAAACTTGAGTATAGAACTCACCTGTAAAGTTTCTCACAAGAACAAAAGAAATACAGCTTTGGAAGCTGTGTTGAATACCTTATTTGGCATCAACTGTAAAGTGGTGCCGTAAGACCAATGCTACGGACATTAAAATGATTCTCTATTGATAAATATACTAAGATGTTCAATATGTATTTTGTTTACTGTCACTACATGTTATTTCTGTACGTAACAACTGCACATTAAATATTTGGACGAAAACCATGATTTTTCTTGTAATTTGAAACTTCCACTCTTGATTATCAGTATCCAATCAAAGCATCCGTTACATACTGGATTTGTGGTAGAGTAAAAAGGTTTTTTATTGGCTTTTCTCACTCTGTTTCGCCCGCCATTGTAGGAAAGGTACAGATTTAGGGCGGTCAGAAAGTTTGAAAGGCCGGGCTGACGGCCGAGGAGAGCGACCAACCCGCGACCGACAACGGGCAAAAAGGTAACAGGGTCACGCATCACCCAACAGGCATGTCGTGGATGGCTGAATTTTGTTGCGGAACACTCTTATTTCCGAATGCTGCATGCCATTATTTTTATTTTGAGCCTGCATGTATCAATGTAGTATCTTTATTTCTTGTTTTTAGGTGTTGTTTAGTTTACTCTGATCTTCTAGTTGCTTTGGTAACGGTTTTGGTGTAAATAGTATGAGGACAATTTTAGATCTCTGTCAGAATTTCTCACACAGTGCATTCGATAAAGATTTCCTTGAAAAGAACTTCAAAACACTAGGAGTAAATCAAAGTTTAACATAGGTTTAAATGCAAATCCTTGTGAACTGCCTATTATAAGATGTCACTTCTGCAGGAACATTTTTTGGCTGTTTATAAAGTTTTCATGGCATTAATTACTGGCACTATAGCTATGATTACACGGCAGTCATTGAAAAAATGCACGGTCTTATATTGATTGGAAGTTATTTTACTCTATAAACAACTAAAGACAAATTGTCTTCCATCTACAGACAATTAAGGACACTTTGTCTTCCCTCTAGGAACAATTTTGGACATTTTGTCTGTCTTCTACAGACAATTTAGGACATTTTGTCTTCCCTCTAGGAACAATTTAGGACATTTTGTCTTCCCTCTAGGAACAATTTAGGACATTTTGTCTTCCCTCTAGGAACAATTTAGGACATTTTGTCTTCCCTCTAGGAACAATTTAGGACATTTTGTCTTCCCTCTAGAGACAATTAAGGACATTTTGTCTGTCCTCTACAGACAATTTAGGACATTTTGTCTTTCCTCTAGGAACAATTAAGGACATTTTGTCTGTCCTCTACAGACAATTTAGGACATTTTGTCTTCCCTCTACAGACAATTTAGGACATTTTGTCTTCCCTCTACAGACAATTTAGGACATTTTGTCTTCCCTCTAGAGACAATTTAGAACATTTTGTCTTCCCTCTAGGAACAATTAAGGACATTTTGTCTTCTCTCTACAGACAATTAAGGACATTTTTTCTTCCCTCTAGAGACAATTTAGGTTATTTTGCCTTCCCTCTAGGAACAATTTAGGACATTTTGTCTGTCCTCTTAAGGCAATTAAGGACATTTTGTCTTCCCTCTAGGAACAATTTAGGACATTTTGTGTTTCCTCTAGGAACAATTTAGGACATTTTGTCTGTCCTCTAGGAACAATTTAGGACATTTAGTCTTCTCTCTAAAGACAATTTAAGACATTTTGTCTTCCAACTAAGAACAATTTAGGACATGTTGTCTTCCCTCTAGTAACAATTTAGGACATTATGTTTTCTCTCTACAGACAATTAAGGACATTTTGTCTGTCCTCTACAGACAATTTAGGACATTTTGTCTTTCCTCTAGTAACAATTTAGGACATTTTGTCTTCCCTCTAGTAACAATTTAGGACATTCTGTCTGTCCTCTAGTAACAATTTAGGACATTTTGTCTTCCCTCTTAAGACAATTAAGGACATTTTGTTTTCCCTTTTAAGACAATTTAGGACATTTTGTCTTCCCTCTAGTAACAATTTTGGACATTTTGTCTTCCCTCTTAAGACAATTAAGGACATTTTGTTTTCCGGTAAAGAAAATTTAGGACATTTTTATCTCTCTATGCGACGTGGAACTGATCATCTCACCAGCTGTACAGACTGTGTAATTATAGCATTGTTCTCATATACTAACTTCACCTATCTATGTAACCATTAGTTCATTTTAACCTCACCAGACTCTTTCTTCTTGTTGTCGTTGTTTGTCAATGTTGTTGTACTTGTTGTTTAAATTGATGTTTTGGTTTTCTTTTTGATGTTATCTGTTGTTTACGTCACTTTTCCTTCTGTCACACCCACCTCACAAAAACTTATCCACTTCTTGGATATTAGCCCCACCACGCAAAATCTTGTCAACTTCTTGTTGTAATGTTTCAAATCTTGGATGTCACACCCACCTCACAAATTCTTGTCAAATTCTTGTTGTAATGTTTCAGATCTTGGATGTCACCCCCACCTCACAAATTCTTGTCAAATTCTTGTTGTAATGTTTCAAATTTTGGATGTCACACCCACCTCACAAATTCTTGTTGTAATGTTTCAAATCTTGGATGTCACACCCACCTCACAAATTCTTGTTGTAATGTTTCAAATCTTGGATGTCACCCCCACCTCACAAAATCTTGTCAACTTCTTGTTGTTTCAAATCTTGGATGTCACCCCCACCTCACAAAATCTTGTTGTAATGTTTCAAATCTTGGATGTCACACCCACCTCACAAATTCTTGTTGTAATGTTTCAAATCTTGGATGTCACCCCCACCTCACAAAATCTTGTCAACTTCTTGTTGTTTCAAATCTTGGATGCATGTAATTTATCCTTTTAGGTTAGGATGACGATTAAACACATAACCCTTGTATTTTCCTGTGGGAGGGAGATTCCAGGATACCTGTAAACTACCCCAGGGGAAGGAATTGGTGGAAAGTAAACACATATCCCTTGTATTTTCCTGTGGGAGGGAGATTTCAGGATACCTGTAAAAGGGTAGAGATTGATGGAGAGTAAAGTCATTCCCCTTGCACTGTCCTAGGGGAGGGATGGTCCATGATATCTGTAAATATTCTCTTGTGTGTTTGGGTTTGTGGAGAAACAAATACTACCATTTTGTAATTTTCATGTTACTTATCTGAGGGTAGGAGTGGAGGAGAAGAAATGGGGGGTGGGGGGTAACATGGATAACAACATAGTGTAACTTGTCCCAGCTTGGGGTTGATGATTAAATCACCTTTCAGGATGCATGTTGTCAGCCCCAGAGTAGGGGACAATAACTGCCCTTACTTTTTTAGCTTTGACTTTGTTTCACTGACATATGGAATTAAGGCTACCATCAATTTCAACTTCAACTTTACAACAAAAAACATTGATCTTTGATCTATGATTTATATTTCTTTCTTTTTTGAATGTTTTAGATAAGAATATATCGGCTGATGCTTCAGTGTATATCTAAACTGTATATTTGTAGCTTTTGTTGTTCTATGCTCTCTTATTTTCATCATTCTTTTGTTGTATGTATAAGGGGAGATTACTCCCATTTTGTCAGTGACATTGGAAGGTACCTCTCATTAAATGTGTATTATACTGGCAACAGGCCATCATTCTAAATCTGATTCCTTTATTGTATATGCTTTTGTGTTACAGTGACTTTGAATGATCACTTGTTAATGTTTGTAGTACACCAACCTAGATTTTACATATCTTTTTCAATTTACAGGAACCTGAATTTTGGATCATTCATATATTGTGTTCATATTGCATGGACCTAGTGATGTTACCTTATTTGTGTTTTGTTCATGTTACAATGGTCCAGTTCTGGATGATAATATAAATGTGTAAATACCTATCTAGTTTTGGATACAAATAAATTTTTGTGTCTGTTTCAGCGACCTGGTTTTGGAAAAAATTATATTTGTGTGTCTAATACAGTGGCCTAACTATGGATGACAGTGTATTTTTGATTGTTGTACTGTGACCAAGAATTGAATGGAGATATACATATATTTGTGTTTCAGAGACCTAGTTCTGGATGATAATACATTCATGCTTGTGTTGCAACGACCTAGTTTTGGATGATAATATATTTCTACATGTGTTACAACGACCTAGTTTTGGATGATAATATCCTTTTGCTTGTGTTACAACGACCTAGTTTTGGATAAAATATTCCTACTTGTGTTACAGCGACCTAGTTTTGAATGATAATATATTCCTACTTGTGTTACAGCGACCTAGTTTTGGATGATAATATATTCCTACTTGTGTTACAGCGACCTAGTTTTTAATGATAATATATTCCTACTTGTGTTACAGCGACCTAGTTTAGGATGTTAATATATTCCTACTTGTGTTACAGCGACCTAGTTTTGAATGATGATATATTTCTACTTGTGTTACAGTGACCTAGATATGGATGAAACCATTAAAATTCTACAGAACAACTCTAGCAGTTCATCAACGTCAAGTCTTTCAAATCGGTAAAATTTTGTAATCTTATGGTAGCTTGGTAAACTATTCCACAAATTGTCTTCTTTCTTGATGTAATTTTATTTCATAAGTGTAAGAAAAAACCCATTGAAATGGCCTTTGATTATGTGTCATGGTCATTGATCAGCTATGTTCTTATCATGCTAATATTTTGAAGAACAAATATGAAGCAATGCTATATTGAACCTTGCGAAAAGACGGCATAAAGTCCTTATTTGGTGTAAGATAAAATTTGGTGTGATAATTTGTTAAATAGATAGTGATGATGGTCTAATTAAGGCCTATTCTCCACTAGTAATGGAATCTGTATGGTTATATTGTAGGAGTGTTGACAGTCCAAGTAATTCATTGGATGCTGTCAACAATATCCCACAGTCCCTTCCAGATGAAGACTCCGATTACGATGTGGAACAGGAGCTGCCTCAGCTCAAGTCTGTCCTCCCTGATGAAGTATATCGTCGACTGAAACCCAAGGAACGGAAACGACAGGATGTTATTAATGGTCAGTACTGCAATAATGTATTGGATATGGTCAGCGTTTTGTTTTTTTGTACAATTGGTTTTCCTCTCTCTTATAGAGGGTTTGACAGTAGATAATATACCATAGTTGTTTCTCTATTACCTTTTAGTAAGAACGAGGTTGATTCTTGTACTTAAATACCTGATGAAGCTCTTATAGAGGGTTTGACAGTAGATAATATACCATAGTTGTTTCTCTATTACCTTTTAGTAAGAACGAGGTTGATTCTTGTACTTAAAGACCTGATGAAGCTCTTATAGAGGGTTTGACAGTAGATAATATACCATAGTTGTTTCTCTATTACCTTTTAGTAAGAACGAGGTTGGTTCTTGTACTTAAATACCTGATGAAGGAGGGTTTGACAGTTGTTGTTTCTCTATTACCTTTTAGTACTTGTAAAATACCTGATGAAGCTCTTATAGAGGGTTTGACAGTAGATAATATACCATAGTTGTTTCTCTATTACCTTTTAGTAAGAACGAGGTTGGTTTTCTCTCTCTTATAGAGGGTTTGACAGTAGATAATATACCATAGTTGTTTCTCTATTACCTTTTAGTAAGAACGAGGTTGATTCTTGTACTTAAATACCTGATGAAGCTCTTATAGAGGGTTTGACAGTAGATAATATACCATAGTTGTTTCTCTATTACCTTTTAGTAAGAACGAGGTTGGTTCTTGTACTTAAATACCTGATGAAGCTCTTATAGAGGGTTTGACAGTAGATAATATACCATAGTTGTTTCTCTATTACCTTTTAGTAAGAACGAGGTTGATTCTTGTACTTAAATACCTGATGAAGCTCTTATAGAGGGTTTGACAGTAGATAATATACCATAGTTGTTTCTCTATTACCTTTTAGTAAGAACGAGGCTGATTCTTGTACTTAAATACCTGATGAAGCTCTTATAGAGGGTTTGACAGTAGATAATATACCATAGTTGTTTCTCTATTACCTTTTAGTAAGAACGAGGCTGATTCTTGTACTTAAATACCTGATGAAGCTCTTATAGAGGGTTTGACAGTAGATAATATACCATAGTTGTTTCTCTGTTACCTTTTAGTAAGAACGAGGTTGGTTCTTGTACTTAAATACCTGATGAAGCTCTTATAGAGGGTTTGACAGTAGATAATATACCATAGTTGTTTCTCTGTTACCTTTTAGTAAGAACGAGGTTGGTTCTTGTACTTAAATACCTGATGAAGCTCTTATAGAGGGTTTGACAGTAGATAATATACCATAGTTGTTTCTCTGTTACCTTTTAGTAAGAACGAGGTTGGTTCTTGTACTTAAATACCTGATGAAGCTCTTATAGAGGGTTTGACAGTAGATAATATACCATAGTTGTTTCTCTGTTACCTTTTAGTAAGAACGAGGTTGGTTCTTGTACTTAAATACCTGATGAAGCTCTTATAGAGGGTTTGACAGTAGATAATATACCATAGTTGTTTCTCTGTTACCTTTTAGTAAGAACGAGGTTGGTTCTTGTACTTAAATACCTGATGAAGCTCTTATAGAGGGTTTGACAGTAGATAATATACCATAGTTGTTTCTCTGTTACCTTTTAGTAAGAACGAGGTTGGTTCTTGTACTTAAATACCTGATGAAGCTCTTATAGAGGGTTTGACAGTAGATAATATACCATAGTTGTTTCTCTGTTACCTTTTAGTAAGAACGAGGTTGGTTCTTGTACTTAAATACCTGATGAAGCTCTTATAGAGGGTTTGACAGTAGATAATATACCATAGTTGTTTCTCTGTTACCTTTTAGTAAGAACGAGGTTGGTTCTTGTACTTAAATACCTGATGAAGCTCTTATAGAGGGTTTGACAGTAGATAATATACCATAGTTGTTTCTCTATTACCTTTTAGTAAGAACGAGGTTGGTTCTTGTACTTAAATACCTGATGAAGCTCTTATAGAGGGTTTGACAGTAGATAATATACCATAGTTGTTTCTCTGTTACCTTTTAGTAAGAACGAGGTTGGTTCTTGTACTTAAATACCTGATGAAGCTCTTATAGAGGGTTTGACAGTAGATAATATACCATAGTTGTTTCTCTATTACCTTTTAGTAAGAACGAGGTTGGTTCTTGTACTTAAATACCTGATGAAGCTCTTATAGAGGGTTTGACAGTAGATAATATACCATAGTTGTTTCTCTATTACCTTTTAGTAAGAACGAGGTTGATTCTTGTACTTAAATACCTGATGAAGCTCTTAATTTTAGCATTGATATTGACACCAAAGTATTATGATGTCAAATTTTACATGTAACAGAATTTGATGTTGTCATTGGTCAAGGTCTGACTCGATGACCAACAGAAATTCTGAGACTTAAAGAATTGTGGCCATAGAGTTTCTTTAGTCTTTACAGGTGATACAATACAACCGTTCCCTGATCAGGGCCCTGCTTACTTAAATTTCAAATAATCTTTAAGTATGCAGTCCATTTTCACTTACTGAAATTAGAATAAATATGATTGATATAAAAATTGATTGTGTCGTGAGAAATGTTTTTGTTATATAAATGGAATTCCCTTTCGTTGAACACTTAGAAATTCTGAACCTTTTTTATGTTTCAGAATTAATTTATACCGAACGACGCCATGTGCGGAACTTAAAGATAATGGAAAGTTTATTTCAGAAACCAATGGTTCATGATCCTAATATATCAGAGGAGTTTACTAAACTGCTGTTCCCTAACTTGGATCACATGATCCAACTCCACTGTAAGTATTAGTTATCTCCCCTGCCTTTCTCTTGTTAGAACCAGTTACCTCCCCTGTCAGTGCTAATTATCTCCCCGGTGTTAAACTCTTTAGATTTTTGGTACTTTTGTCCTTGGCCCTGTCAATTTCTGAGGTAACAGGCAGATTTTATATCATTTAAAGAGCATATGGAACATCAAGATTTATTGCTTTATTAGGAAAAAAGACTGTTTCATATACCATTGAAATTGTGAGTTAAAAAATGTTAAAATGTAATTACTAATAATATGGGCATTTCATGGCCATGATTATTTCCAAGTTGCTTTTATTGAAAATAAAATATTTGCAATAAGTCTGATCTTACTTATATAAAAAGTGATATTTAAACCTAACTCAAAATTTGTTTGAATCCAAGTACACATATAGAAAGATTTGCAAAACTCCATTTGATTTAATAAATTTCAACTTGATCGAACGTGTCTTTGTTATGTTTATGTGTTCGGCAATAATAATAAGAAAACATGAAAAAGCCGAGATATTAATCTATTTCTTGTTTGCTACAGGTTCATTGAATAATGCTTTAAAGGCAAAAAGAAGAGAAAACAAAGTGGTAGATGATATTGGTGATATTTTATTAAAAAGGGTAAGTTGTGTTTCATTTTCTTTATGCATCGACCTGATTAAGAGTATGTATTGTTAGTAATTGTGGTGGATAACAAACATTGATAAAAGTTAGCTTGGCCTTGCTTTGGGTGTTTTGGGTAGGACTTACAATAATCATTAAACATTGACAAAATTTGGCTTTGACTTTATTTTTGGTATCTTGGGTTGGACTTCCTACAAACATTAAACATTGATAAATGTAAGCTTGGCCTTATTTTGGGTGTTTTGGTTAGGGATTGCAACAAAAATTAAACATTGATAAATGTAAGCTTGGCCTTATTTTGGGTGTTTTGGTTAGGGATTGCAACAAAAATTAAACATTGGTTACAGTTAACTTTGCCTATTAACTGGTACATAAGTTTAAGTAGACTATCAACATTAACAGAACAAGTTAAATCTATTGAAATTTTTATGGACACTACTCTTAAAACATAAACTTAACATGGCTTGACCAATCTTTGTGCTTAACAGTTTGACAATGAAGAGGGGGAAGCATTCCGTAAAAATTGTGCCATATTTTGTCGAAACCAGCAACATGCGCTGGATATGCTCAGGTCAAAACAGAAAAAGGATGCACGAATATCAACGTTTTTGGGGGTAAGTACCTGTGAAAACTAAAAAGTTTCTCTTGGCTTTCACAATCTGTCTTAAAAGGCCCATGTTTTATTGGAATTCCAGCTGTATGTAAAGCTCAGACCACTTAACAGTTTAAGCATGATGTTTGTACTTCTGTGATGACTTGGTTTCTATCTAAATATTACCCCATAGCCCGAAAGAGTTGTCACAAGTTTGAATATGTGATATTGTATGAGAGTAAGGATTAGTACTGAAGTATACATGTTTACTGTGTTTACAGGAAGCAGAAAGTAGTAACCTAATGCGCAGGCTTCAGCTGAAGGATCTCATCCCAACTCAAATGATGAGGCTGACCAAATATCCCCTGTTAATAGAGAGTCTCAAGAAACACACGCTGTGTAAGTCTGGTCTAGAGAATATAGACAGGTGTTATAGAGACCAAATATCCCCTGTTATTAGAGAGTCTCAAGAAACACACGCTGTGTAATTCTGGTCTAGAGAATATAGACAGGTGTTATAGAGACCAAATATCCCCTGTTAATAGAGAGTCTCAAGAAACACACGCTGTGTAATTCTGGTCTAGAGAATATAGACAGGTGTTATAGAGACCAAATATCCCGTTATTAGAGAGTTTCTAGAAACACACGCTGTGTAAGTCTGGTCTAGAGAATATAGACAGGTGTTATAGAGACCAAATATCCCCTGTTATTAGAGAGTCTCAAGAAACACACGCTGTGTAATTCTGGTCTAGAGAATATAGACAGGTGTTTTAGAGACCAAATATCCCCTGTTAATAGAGAGTCTCAAGAAACACACGCTGTGTAAGTCTGGTCTAGAGAATATAGACAGGTGTTATAGAGACCAAATATCCCCTGTTATTAGAGAGTCTCAAGAAACACACGCTGTGTAATTCTGGTCTAGAGAATATAGACAGGTGTTATAGAGACCAAATATCCTGTTATTAGAGAGTTTCTAGAAACACACATTGTGTAAGTCTGGCCTATAGAAATCTCATACAGACAGGTGCTGTAGACCAAATATTCCTAATAGACAGTGTCCATAAAATGTACACATTGTAAGTCTGACCTATTGAAAATTTAAACAGAAAGGATGGTAAAGAGTACTACATTGGCACATGTTTCTAGAGAAATGCATGCACAATTACCGAACAACCTAATACTGTACAAATGAATTTGGTTATTTAACACATATTTTCTAGTGTGGATGTCCCTTTAGTTTGTAGCTGTATGATAAAATGGTGAAAGTATGGGCTTACAGGACATAAAAAAGTTTCTGGTATTTCTGTAGGTAAATAGACCTGGTCACAGGAAAAACAAGAAATACATCATAATCATTTACCCTCGAAACCCATACAATAACTATAAAATGACAGGTGTCTGACTGTTTGTGTTACAGTGGGTTCCGAAGAACACACAAAGCTGGAGCGGGCTCTCCAGTGCAGTAAACACATCTTGGAGTATGTAAACCAGGCAGTCCAAGATTATGAAAACATCTACAGACTGGAACAGTTACAGAGGAGAATGGAGAAGAAGATTCTCTCTGACTACATGGCTGATGACCTGAAGGTAGGTTTTGTGGTCCTAATTAGTGAAATCAACCAGAGTTTGGTCTGATGGGTAATCAGTCAGGGTGAAAACTGATGGGTTATCAGTCAGGGTGAAAACTGATGGGTTATCAGTCAGGGTGAAAACTGATGGGTTATCAGTCAGGGTGAAAACTGATGGGTTATCAGTCAGGGTGAAAACTGATGGGTTATCAGTCAGGGTGCGAACTAATGGGTTATCAGTCATGGTGCTAACTGATGGGTTATCAATCAGGATGAAAACTGATTGGTAATCAGTCTGGGTGAAAACTGATGGGCTATCAATCAGGGTGAAAATTGATTGGTAATCAGTCAGGGTGAAAACTGATGGATTATCAGTCAGGATGAAAATTGATTGGTAATCAGTCAGGGTGAAAACTGATGGATTATCAGTCAGGATGAAAATTGATTGGTAATCAGTCAGGGTGAAAAAATATTTGGAACATTTTCTTCAGATTGTTAATGTCAGTAGTACAGTGGAAAAAGTTTTTAGATTCTTTAACATCTTGTAAACTATGTACATCACTGCTAATATACTTAACATTGGTCATTTATGTTGTGAGGATGACTATGTGATCACACTTGAATCTTCTACTGGACGTGTTTTGAGAGCTTTCTTCTACTGTTAAAAGCCTGATTCTGTTTTATAGTCCCTGGACCTACGAGCTCACCGACTAGTGCATGAGGGCCCACTGACATGGAATATGAACCAGAGAAAGAGTCTAGATGTCCATGTAATTCTACTGGAAGATCTGTTTGTACTTCTCCAGAAACAAGACGACAAACTCGTCCTCAAGTGTCAGAGCACACAGCTGGTGGCGGGCAAGGAGGATATCAAATATATGTTCGCTCCCGTCCTCAAACTCAATAATATCCTCCACACCAACAGTAAAGCAACAGGTAAGTACAGTCAAGTACATGTTCTGTCTTATCCTCCACATGTACAGTACAGCGACAGTTAAATACAGTCAAGTACATGTTCTGTCTTATCCTCCACATGTACAGTACAGCGACTGTTAAATACAGTCAAGTACATGTTCTGTCTTATCCTCCACATGTACAATACAGCGACAGTTAAATACAGTCAAGTACATGTTCTGTCTTATCATCCACATGTACAGTACAGCGACAGTTAAATAGAGTCAAGTACATGTTCTGTCTTATCCTCCACATGTACAGTACAGCGACTGTTAAATACAGTCAAGTACATGTTCTGTCTTATCCTCCACATGTACAGTACAGCGACAGTTAAATACAGTCAAGTACATGTTCTGTCTTATCCTCCACATGTACAGTACAGCGACTGTTAAATACAGTCAAGTAAATGTTCTGTCTTATCATCCACATGTACAGTACAGCGACTGTTAAATACAGTCAAGTACATGTTCTGTCTTATCCTCCACATATACAGTACAGCGACTGTTAAATACAGTCAAGTACATGTTCTGTCTTATCCTCCACATGTACAGTACAGCGACTGTTAAATACAGTCAAGTACATGTTCTGTCTTTTCCTCCACATGTACAGTACAGCGACTGTTAAATACAGTCAAGTACATGTTCTGTCTTATCCTCCACATGTACAGTACAGCGACAGTTAAATACAGTCAAGTACATGTTCTGTCTTATCATCCACATGTACAGTACAGCGACTGTTAAATACGTCAAGTACATGTTCTGTCTTTTCCTCCACATGTACAGTACAGCGACTGTTAAATACAGTCAAGTACATGTTCTGTCTTATCATCCACATGTACAGTACAGCGACTGTTAAATACAGTCAAGTACATGTTCTGTCTTATCCTCCACATGTACAGTACAGCGACTGTTAAATACAGTCAAGTACATGTTCTGTCTTATCATCCACATGTACAGTACAGCGACTGTTAAATACAGTCAAGTACATGTTCTGTCTTATCATCCACATGTACAGTACAGTGACAGTTAAATAGAGTCAAGTACATGTTCTGTCTTATCCTCCACATGTACAATACAGCGACAGTTAAAGACACTTAGGAAAATGTTAAACTTACTGAACAGAAAAACGCTGAAAATTATGATAATGTAATCGTACTTTGCAGTGATTCCATATGTAATTTGTAATCTATCAATAATGGGTGACTTGTGTTTCAGACAAAAAAGCGTTCTTTGTGGTCTCTAAGTCGCAGATCTACGAATTGTCGGCTCACACGGCTGACGAACAGCGCAAGTAAGTAGTGTCCACGCTTTGTTCATCAGTGAACTACTAATACTAAGCCTTAGAGAACAAACTCAATTAGCTTTAACTGTTCTTCATATGCAGGCACTGAATCTTTTACATCAGTATAAATTCTTGTCACTGTTTGATAATATTTGTTTTTGATAAAGTTGTAAAATAATTTGTGCTGGACATCAGCAAGTAAAACAAATTATAATTATTGCTCAGTGCTTGTGTTGTTGTTCCATGTACTGAACTTTGACCTCCATATATGCTGTTTTGACCTTTGACTCTTGACCCTTTAAGGTGGTGTAAATATATCAAAGATGCAGCGGATAAATTCAAGAACAAACACATCAAGGCAACAGTGACAGATGTGGCCAACACACAACCAGAGGTCATAAGTCAAGAACGTGACTCCTTGAGGGTAGAAAACAGCAGGTACTCAATTATCCCCCCTGATTCAAATCACACCCATGTCTGAATTTTGACCCAGTGATCTCCCTTTGCTTAAGTTCATGATTGTCACCACTTTACTCTGTAATTTCCCAGAACTCATATGGAAGTTTTATGAAACTTCACACATTTATCTTTGCTGGCTCAATTTGACTTTCCTGGTTAATGTAATATTATTACAGAAAACTCTTTTAAAATTATTTTCCCTGGCTCATACCAAGATACCAATATATGCATAATTCTGACCTCAGCTTATGTTGATATGAGGTGTATTTAATACACTGACCAAGTTCTCTCCCCTTGCTCATATAACTCTTTTTAGCATTTGGTTAAAATACTCCATATCTGAGAGCCTGTCCCTGAGGTGATTTAGTACACACAGACATAGTAAGAAATAATTGTACAACTTTCCAGAGCCTGCATGTACACACAGACATAGTTAGAAATTATCGTACAATTTTCTCGAGCCCGCATGTTCAGTCTAACTGCCTTGAACACCATTTGATATATCCCTTTGTTTGGCAGGACAAGTGGTTCCAATACTGGTGGAGAGTTCATGGCGGAACAGGTTGAACTTTCAGAGGAACCTGGTCTCATCCAGCCTGAAGATATGGTCATCAAAGATGCTGTTACTTCTAAATCCCAACCAGTCCTCACCCCTCTAGGTATGTACCCTCCCTGGGGATATATTACTCCCCTTCCCAGAGTCTCCTAAAATCACATAAACTTAGGATAAAATTCTCTTTGCCTTAAAGCGAATGATTTGCCAAGATTAAGTAAGGGTATGGTGTGTTATGTAGATGTAGCTGTAAAGGTGTGTTGTGTTGTCCATTTGACCTTTATGCTCTTTCTCAAGGTAGTCAACAACAGATACATTCCTAGTCCTGTCACAGATTTTATAGGAATAATAATCAATTATTGATGATAATAATTCCTAAAAAAAAATTCCCCCTTCAGAATAAGTGAAACCTTGGGCCTGTTCATTTATGCTGACCAATCTGTTTGTCAACACATTTTATGTAATATTTTTGGCATGAATCAAGATGGACCTGCAAATATCAGTACAGGCCTCAAAAGGCTTAGTCAAGGCTCACCATAAAGTGAAACTAGATGAGTAGGTCTGCCCTCACTTTGTTTATTAACAGTCCTGAGCAAGTGATCAAATCAGAAAATGAAAAGGCACATCATATCCTTCAGAGGTAGTTTTTAAATAGACCTATTGTTGCAGTTGGGTATATCTATTTAAGTTTGTTTTTAATATGTAGGGATATTTGATGCATGAAATGAGATTAAAAAAAAAAATTCTCATTGTTGTACATAAATGCTGTTATGTATCCGAGGAACAAAATCAAAGGAGAAATTTAAATAGGGTAAAGCTTTGCTGCATCAGAGTAATAGATAGATGTAGTCCAAGAACTTTGTCACAGAACTAAATCCTCCTGTACATTAGCTGTGTGATCTATGTGTATATATATTTCTCCTTATTAGGGCGTTTGTATGTTGGCATGGTTACAAATGTTGTTGTCCACAGTTGTTGGAGCAATACCTCCTATTCATCCTTCATGTGATGTTGCCATGGCAACATTTGTCATGGAAGCCTGGTAGCCATGGATCCAAGTGTTTATTTGTTCCAATGGTGTCTTGTCGTGCCCAGTATATTTAGATAATCTAACTTCATCGTTCTTTAGTGTCTTTTCTTGTCAAAATCTAACATTACTAGTTTTATTTAAATCTGACTTGTGAAAGAAAGGAAAAAGTAGAATTTATTTTCTTCTATTTTTTAATTGAAATGATTCCAGAAACATTCAGGCATTTGTAATACCTTAATTATCTTTTTACTATTAAAAGTAAAAGGAATTGCTTCTGTCTTACAGAAAATTCAGTATTTTAAACTGATTGAAAAGATTTTATTTTCGTTTCTTGTAAATTTGAATTGTCTGAAATAAACTTTTAATTGTGGATTTTGGCGAGATAAGCATTGAGATTACTAACACTGTGACTAGTGATACAGAACATCCTACTTTGTGTAACACATATAAGGCGTCACACTGAACTGACATGGGAATTTTTAGTTGTTTCTGATCTGCCATTTTTTAAAAACTCATTGGCTAAACTTAAGTCTGAAGTAGTAAGTGTTGAAGGAGGAGAGTGTGACGTGTTACTGTGGTAGTGTGTCCTGATATCCTGGTGTTGCATCACGATGCATGTTGCTATGAGACTGAGCCCCTGTGTCCCTTACACAGACAAGCTTCGGATGCTGGACTCGGACATCATGGAAAAGATGAAGGACCGCCGAGCCATCCTTAAGGAGATTCTTAAATTACATGAGATGGACAGTACGCTACAGATCCAGGTAAGATTTAGGAACTGAACACACATTTATTTTCATGTCATAATTCATACAACAATTTATACAAAAGAGAAGACAAACAATGTATGTTGATGTTTTGACAAGTTCTGATTTGAAGAAATTCCAAAAGAATTATAAACTATGAAAAATTAAACTTTGTAACAGATGAATTCTTTGTCTGAACGGTCAGTGATATGATGTATGAGCCTCTATTTTCTCTCAATGTATTGTAAACTTTCTTTTACTTGAAACTTAATTTTCGCAACTTTTGAAATTGAAAAAAAATTGTTAATCATTGCAAGTTCTAAAGTCAATCATTACAGAATTGTTATGATGCAGGTATTCGGAAAGAAAAGTATTCACAAATAAATTTGGTTTACACTGTTTATTCATATGTTAATGCTGATATCTCGCCTCACAGGTAAATCAGTTATAATAGTAATTTGTTTTATTGACCTGCTAAATAAAAACATGCCATATCTATTTTAAAGGTGAGATATCTTATGTTGCAGTCTGGTGCAGACACTGACCGACCAATAAATGAACTTCTACACGACATGGCTCAGGAATCGGAGGACTGTATCAATATGTTGAACAGTGCTGAATGTAGGTTTTGCCTGAGGGTGGGGATTAATTATCTGGGCGTGTGAGGTCGGGGTAGGGGCATCACTCAAATTTCCTGTGTCGGAGTACAGGATCTTGATGCAAAACACTGCTCAATGAAGGTTTCTTTAAGTCGAAGGAACACTAAATATACCAGGGGTGATAACAAGTGCTTTAAGAATTGGACAGGAGGTAGGGTCAGGGATATAGACTAGAGGTAGGATCAGGGATATAGACTGGGGGTTGGATCAGTGATATAGACAGGGAGTAGGTTCAGAGATATAGACAGGAGGTAGGATAAGGTATATAGACAGGAGGTAGGATCAGGGATATAGACAGGAGGTAGGATCAGGTGTATAGACTGGAGGTAGGATCAGGGATATAGACAGGAGGTAGGGTCAGAGATATAGACAAGGGGTAGGATCAGGGATATAGACAGGAGGTAGGATCAGGGATATAGACTTGGGGTAGGATCAGGGATATAGACAGAGGTAGGGTCAGGGATACAGACTGGAGGTAGGATCAGGTATATAGACAGGAGGTAGGATCAGGTATATAGACAGGAGGTAGGATCAGGTATATAGACAGGAGGTAGGATCAGGGATATAGACAGGAGGTAGGATCAGGGATATAGACAGGAGGTAGGATCAGGTATATAGACAGGAGGTAGGATCAGGTGTATAGACTGGAGGTAGGATCAGGGATACAGACTGGAGGTAGGAACAGGTATATAGACAGGACGTAGGATCAGTGAAAAAGACTGGAGGTAGGATCAGGTATATAGACAGGAGGTAGGATCAGGTATATAGACAGGAAGTAGGGTCAGGAATGTAGACTGGTAAGTTTGGTGAGTAGGGTCTTCTTAAAAGTACAATAGTAATTTACGTTGATAACCACAGGTGGTATATTGAGTTAATTACATGCACACGAGGATAAAATTGCTTTAATGATGCACAGTTTTATTTCTCTCTTTTGTATTACAGATTTTTTAATGGCATATTGTGTTGTAATAACAGTACGCCTTCACATGGTAGTGTGAGGCTATTGAGTGGGGAGGGGATTGTATCCAGATGCATTCCCTCATCCCCAGGAAATAACGGGAAGCAGCCCTACATTGTCTACTGTAGCATGTGTGCATTCCTTTTGTTTCTGTGTGTTATCAGCCTGTCACCTAACATCTAGTTGGAATGTTATGTAGACACTAACAGATGTTTTATTCAAAACAAAACAAAATGTTTTATTTGTGACAAGGGAATCAACTTTCAGACAACACAGTCAGACACAAGATCAGTCTGTTGTCAGAATGACTAGATTCATTGGTCCTTTGTCATGATCATAAAAATTTGACTGCAGTTTTGTCATATAAATGATCTCGGACAAAAATCACGAACACCACAGACTGTCATCAAGGAGACATCATGAGACTGAGATTGTTGTCACAGTCATCATGGCGCAACCTCAGACTGATCATAAACATGCCCTCAGACTGTTATCACAAACACACGACTTCAGACTGTCATCACAAACATGAACTCAGACTGTTATCACAAACATGAACTCAGACTGTTATCACAAACACAACCTCAGACTGTTATCACAAACACAACCTCAGACTGTTATCACAAACACAACCTCAGACTGTCATCACAAACAAGACCTCAGACTGTCATCACAAACACAACCTCAGACTGTTATCACAAACAAGGCCTCAGACTGTTATCACAAACACAACCTCAGACTGTTATCACAAACACAACCTCAGACTGTTATCACAAACACAACCTCAGACTGTTATCACAAACAAGACCTCAAAGTGTTATCACAAACACAACCTCAGACTGTCATCACAAACACAACCTCAGACTGTTATCACAAACAAGGCCTCAGACTGTTATCACAAACACAACCTCAGACTGTTATCACAAACACGACCTCAGACTGTTATCACAAACACAACCTCAGACTGTCATCACAAACACAACCTCAGACTGTCATCACAAACAAGACCTCAGACTGTTATCACAAACACAACCTCAGACTGTCATCACAAACAAGACCTCAAACCGTTATTACAAACACAACTTCAGTCCGTTATTACAAACACGACCTCAGACTGTTATCACAAACACGACCTCAGACTGTTATCACAGAGATGCAATCTCTGTCTGTTGTCATAGGCTTGACTTAAGGCTGATGTTACAGACACAACCTTAGACTGTTATCTCACACCACAGGGAATTGAGAGGAATCAATAAGTAAAAGAAGTTTGCATGATTTTTGTGATTTAAATGATGAAATATTCTTGCATGAGATTTTTACAAACAAGATGGGTAACAGTATAACAATAAGGCTGTCTTCTGGAAATAATTTTTTCTAATTTTATTCATTTTCGGAACCTTTTTTTTTTTGTTTTTTAAACCCTTTTAGTGTTTTGATTTTAAATGGGATATTTGATATGTTTTATTCCAAAATAAGTGAAAAATGCATAAGAATATCTTTTTTTTAAGAAGATGAACCAATATTTTATTTGAAGTGTTAACAAAATTATAAGCTGATAGAAAAGTGGGGATGGGCAGGCTAGGTAGTGTGTGGTGCTAACAGGCGTGCCATGTTTATCTACAGCTGGTCTAGCTAAGGAGGACCTATCAATGCCTATACCCATGGATAAACTGAGGGAGATGGCCAACAGAATGAACCAGATCCTAACCAACCTACTGGTGAGTTATCTCCCTTGTCTTGATTTATTTTTTTCGCAATCTTGACTGACATTCATGATATCCTTTTGGTAAGTTTTCTCTCAGGTATTTCACAGTCATCAGGTACAAATTATTTTCATCTTTTAACTTAGATAACTTTGCCCCACTTATCATAAGACAAACCTGACTTTTTTGCAAAAATACCTTTGAGACCATCCTTATCAATCAGAATACAGGAATTCCAGATTTTAAAAATATGCTGGGTTTTGAGATGTTCCCTCTATATTAATCTGTATGTAGATCTATAGATGAGGTTTACATTAAGGTGTTGAGATCTTTTTATATATCAAATAAATTAAGGTTTTGAGATGTCCCCTCTATGTTGTACAGCTCTAGTTTAGTTGCCATGCTCATAATGATGGTTTTGAAACGACCCCCTAGATGTACATCTATTGTCTGCCATGCTCAAAATTAAAGTTTTGAAATGACCCCTATGCCTCATGAAGATTTTTAGATGTCCCCTTTACGTTGTACTTTGTTAGTCTGCGATGTTTATATTTAGGATTTGAGATGTCCTTAGACGTTGTACATCTGTAGTCTGCCATGTTCTGTAACTGCCTCAGTGTTGTTACCATGGTGATCCCTATGGCCAGAGCTTGGTTGTTGTATTTGTTAAGAAACTTTACTAAAATGTTTTCTTTTTTCTGAAATTTTGCGTGGATTGAACTGAGCACAATCTGTCACTGATGTTGTATGTTTTTTCACATTACTGCTGTAAAAGACAAAAACACTTTGATGTGTACATCAGTTATAACGAAAACTATCATTTCCTTATAAGCATACCTATCAGATAAGCATGTTTGTCAGGGACTAAAACATATAATTTTATCCTAAAAATTGTGTCCATTAGAAACCAGGAAAACTGTTTCATCCCCCTAAGTGTGCCTGTCGGATAAGCGTGTCTTTCATAAACCCAAAATACCTCTATTTGAAACTGTTGTTATGGAAATATTAAGATAAGTTTGTCTGTCAGAAACCATAAAAATTGTTATATGGAAATAAACTTATATGTAAGAAACTGTAAAAAATTTTATATTAAAATAAGTTTTGTCTGTCGGAAACCAGAAGCGCTGTCACCATATTTGCTTTCAATTAAACCAAGTGGTCCAAAATGCAAATTCTAAAACTTTTTAAACAGGGCAAAAAATATGACAAGATCCCTCCTGGATATGTGTGGTCACCCTGCAGATTCATCTCATTAGGTTATGTTGAATTTGAATGGAAGAGGATATTTGCTACAATAAGCATTTTTATAGCAAATTTAGAATTTTCCCTTTGTTCTAAGGCTACAATAGGATTTGTTTGGTTGGCTATAGGTTCTAGGTCCTCTTACAAGGATGTATATATGGTATGTCTGTGTTGAAGTAGATGATGAAGACTATCGCCTCAGGAGTATTATAATTGTAAAATTTCAACTTGCTATAACTGAAAATTCTTACTTAGCTCTGAAAATTCTTAAAATTTGCCAAAATGGGATAAATAAAGATATTTCTGTACATCTTCTAGATGTCTGTCAGAAAAGTAGTCAAATATCATATGCAAATAAAACATGGTTTGTTGAAATGACCTGGTACTTTTGTAGGTTTCTGGCATGCTGTATATATAAATATCTGTCTCGTTTTAGATACAGGTTTACTATAATTATACAATGTTTGAATCTCCTTTCACAATCAGCTAGATTTGCTGGTCACGCCTCACAGAATGGCTGTTAGGAAAGATCTGAGACAATTTTTGTTGGTGGTTTTAAAGTTTCACACTTAAATGTTGATATATTCTTTTTTTTCTTAACGAAGATAAATTTTACGATCTTTTATTTCCTTATCCAAGGGTAGCAATTTAATTATGCATGTATTGCCGAGGGTGAAGAGGAATAGGCAGGCACCCTTGGGTATAGCAAAGATGCAATTTTGTAATCTTATAAAACTTTGTGCAGAAAGGTCTAAATGCACACTTACCGTTGCATAGAAAAAAAATATTTTTGTTTAAATGCATTTTGATGAATATAAATGAATATTTTTTCATGAGGTATTTGGATTTGCTGTATCTGAACATAAATTTCTGTTATCACTAGGTATATCTCGTTAGCAAAGAATTCTAAGCCATATGTGGTGATAATTTCGATCTTGTTATGCTTTATATGTTATAAAAACAAAAAATAATTTTAAAGAGTATTAAAAAAATTGACATGAAGTATTTGATCTTTTCAAGCCTTTAGACTTTAAACTAAAGGAAAATGTTTATCGATGTTAATATCATGTTTATCAATGTTAATATCATTTTTTTGAAAAAGAATTTTCAGTTGATTAATGATCATACATTTTCTATTGTTAAGTGGTTTTAGGATATTTTCTGTAAACAGTTTTACATGTGGAAAGTGTAAAGAAAATGATATTGTGCATTTGAAAGTAAGTGCACAGATATTTGAGAGTGTGGAGATTTCACATTGGATATCATCAAGACATAAGTCACCATTAGAATTCAAAATACTGTGTTGAACCTTTTCCTCAATCTCTGGAACCATTTACATTAGAAAGAAACTGGTCAGAACCAATGACAGCCATTGCTCAGATCTTTCTGGTACATTGTAACAGAGAATTCTGGCTGATTAACACAGGTTGCTGTATGTAATGTGTATTTATTCTGACAGGAAAAGACGAGGGCATACTCTGCCCTGACTGCGGGACAACCCGCTTCCTCCTCCTCCTCAGTGAGTCCGCATCTCTAGTTCTGTTACCTTTACTAACACAGCATGGCCACAGTCACTATTATTCGAGCAGTTTAATTGGTTAGTCACAACAGATGGGCAATTTCATCAGTCAGGGCCAAAGCTACCATAATATTGGCTGTTTCATTGGTCAGCGCCAGAATCACAGTACTACAGGGTATTTTATTGGTCAGGGCTAAAGTCAGTAAAGTACAGGGTATTTCATCGGTCAGGGCTAAAGTCAGTAAAGTACAGGGTATTTCATTGGTCAGGGCTAAAGTCAGTAAAGTACAGGGTATTTCATCGGTCAGGGCTAAAGTCAGTAAAGTACAGGGTATTTCATCGGTCAGGGCTAAAGTCAGTAAAGTACAGGGTATTTCATCGGTCAGGGCTAAAGTCAGTAAAGTACAGGGTATTTCATCGGTCAGGGCTAAAGTCAGTAAAGTACAAGGTATTTCATTGGTCAGGGCTAAAGTCAGTAAAGTACAGGGTATTTCATCGGTCAGGGCTAAAGTCAGTAAAGTACAGGGTATTTCATCGGTCAGGGCTAAAGTCAGTAAAGTACAGGGTATTTCATTGGTCAGGGCTAAAGTCAGTAAAGTACAGGGTATTTCATTGGTCAAAGTCACAAAAGTACACAGGCTGTCTCATTTGCCAGGGCCAAAGTCAGTATCACATGGGCAGTTTCTTTGTCAGAGGCAAAATCTCCATGGTTTATGGAAATTTCATCGGTTAGTACTAAAGTCACTGTATTACAGGTAGTTACATCAGACAAAAAGTCGTTAAGTTACCTTGGTTAGTACTAAAGTCACTGTATTACAGGTAGTTACATCAGACAAAAAGCCGTTAAGTTACCATCGGTTAGTACTAAATCTCTCTATTACAGGTAGTTACATGAGACCAAAAGTCGTTAAGTTACCATCGGTTAGTACTAAAGTCACTCTATTACAGGTAGTGACGTCAGACCAAATGTCGTTAAGTTACCTTGGTTAGTACTAAAGTCACTGTATTACAGGTAGTTACATCAGACAAAAAGTCGTTAAGTTACCATTGGTTAGCACTGAAGTCACTCGATTACAGGTAGTGACGTCAGACCAAAAGTCGTTAAGTTACCATTGGTTAGTACTAAAGTCACTGTATTACAGGTAGTTACATCAGACAAAAAGCCGTTGAGTTACCATCGGTTAGTACTAAAGTCTCTGTATTACAGGTAGTTACATCAGACAAAAAGTCGTTAAGTTACCATTATTTAGTACTAAAGTCTCTGTATTACAGGTAGTTACATTAGACAAGAAGTCGTTAAGTTAACATCGTTTAGTACTAAAGTCTCTGTATTACAGGTAGTTACATTAGACAAGAAGTCGTTAAGTCACTATTGCACTGTTGTTCATATGGTGCAAGTACGAACATCTATGCTGGTCAAGACCACAGCCATCCTTATGTTAGCATGAAATAATTACCTAGGTCAAAATTTCAATAGGAAAAGGAGTACTTGGTTGGCATAAATTTTCTTCATAAAGTTCTTAGATAAGTCATAGTACAGAAAATGTTATTTGTCAGTGGAAGAGAGTTTCACATTGACACTAATGCAGGTAACTTCCTTAATCAGGACAATCTTATGTTAGAATAGGTAATTAATTGGTCATCAATACTGTTGCAATGATACAAATAATTTGATTGGCAGCAGAGCAGTATTTGACTGGCAATTTGTTGACCAGATAATTTAGAGATCACTAGTATACCAACAGTCACCACACATTATTCCACTCTCTATACTAATCCTGTGTAGACAAGAAACTTTAATTTGTATATTATATTCCTTTTTAGCTTTGAGTGAACCTCAGAGTGTCACTGAGGGAAAATCTGGAGATAGTTGTTATCAGCAGTGGATAGTGCTGGATAAAACAAAATTATATTGTGTATAAATTACAGATGTATAATATCATTATCTCTGTTTCTAGAAAGATTTTCCAGTAATATTATAACAAGATAAGGCACCTGTACTGTAGAAAGTATTTTACAAATGGATTTAAAAAAAGAGTTAGTACTCTTTGATGTAAGCAGTTTTGAGAAAAAATGTCACATTGAAGGTGAATATTATCAGACACACTCTATATTGAGTATGAGGTAATGTGAATATAATGTCAGGTCTGTACCCAGTGTGGAGACTCAGCACTCTGAGGCTGTTTATTGTAGTGTTATCAGATAGACTACTATGACTGTAGCCATGCATGCTTCAGGCCCGCCACACAGGTCAGCTAAACTTACTGCCCTTAAATTGACATCCTCATTAATTATCACCTGATTGGTGACTTGCTTAATGATGTCGGCTTTAATTTGTAACATGAGACATTAATATGCGTAGATTTACTGGTTTAAAGGAATATTTGAATTAATATACAAAGAAATGTTATGTCAGATATATCATGAAAGTGTGACCGATATACAACTGTGGTGTGACTCTATATAGAGAATCTGTAAGATTTAGACAGTAGCATGTAGAAGCATTGTTAGATGGCCTGGGTAGTTTTGTAAATAGGTCAAGGTCAAGGTCATGACTTCTGCCATGCAAGTGTACATGCATTTAGAATTCTATGACTAAATGAAATTAACCTTCAAACATCAACAGATTAGGTCTGTTATTTATACAAATCAATACTTGATAACCATGACAACTATTGGTAGCAACCATTTAGATATCAAGACTTAGTTGCCATGACAATGATTAGTCCCAGCCAGACATATCTCAATACTTGGTAACTATGACAACATGTAACCACCACCAATCATATCTCAGTACTTGGTAACCATGACAAGTATCAGCTTCAACCAATAACAATTCAAGACTTGGTAACCATGACAGTCATGAGTCACAACCAATCAAACGTCAAGACTTACTCACTGTGACAACATGCCCAAGAGTGTCAGTCTGATAATTAGTTGGTAAACCAAGTCAGTTCTTTTTTTTTCGAATCTGATTTTTCAAAAATGTTATTAAAAGGGTTTTGAAGTCCCAAATTATATACATACAAGAGTATGGAAACACCTGTATTTTGCTTATCAAATTAAACTGTTACTACAGTGGCATGCCTGCCTCACCTCTTTATGGCTGGTGTGTTGTTTTTTCGGGAATTTTATGTGTGTAAAGACATCATATGATGGGTTTGGACAATGGTAGTTTGACCCCTATTGATGGGTGTTGATATGGAGTGTGACCTAGCATGGCTTTTGATAGTTCTGTAGCATTCCTTTGTTAATGAATGCACCAGACAACTTGATGATTTGTTTACCATTTTAAGATTTAAAACTAGCGGTGTGATTTTATGTTAAAGTATTATTTACACAAATTTAAAAGATTTTATTTATTTTGGGATTACTCCCTCATATAAAATTTGTTTTTACATATTATGTGCTTGCATGCTTGATTATTATTACGGACAATTTGTATCATTCGTAAATGTATTTATCAATATTACATAATATTTCACAGTTTATAATCCACGAGATATCAACCAAGATCCCACAACATCAACTTACCCTCAACTAACCTGTCATAATGATCTTATAATAAGTTTAATTTAGCAAGAAACAGAGGGTGATTTTACCAGAAGACCACTTGGTACCTTTTGATTGTTAAGTAACAACATTGAGTATTAATTGATAACTTGTGAAATAATTGCTGACAGTATCAGAAGTTTTGTCATTAGACTTAAATATTTACTATGTAGTTAAATGATATTTGGTTGAAAACATTAACTTTAAGGATAATAAGATCAATTTTACAACTTCTGTATGCCTTGTATCATGATGTGTATCTTTTGAGTAACGCTTGTCTCCCTTGACAGGCGGTGGTTAACAACCGTGATGACGAGCGAGAACGACTTCGACAAGAATTAAAAGCTGCACAAGATGAACTCAACATGCTGCGGGAGATTCAGCGACGTGTATCGTCTTCATCACCTACTGATGTCACGCTTGCTCGACCCCAAAGTATTATTTCTGTGGCCTCGACTTCATCAGATGTAGCAGAAGACGGCACCCTCACTCAGATAGACTCTACCGACACAGATACAGGTAATATTATACAAAAATAACTAAATATTATTACACATGTGTAACAGTCATGATAACTTGTTAAATGATGTCAGTTTATATCTAGAATACTTCACTGCTGTATTACATTTCCATATTTATCTTATGATAAGGTAGGACAACACGTAACCGCCAACCCAAAATCACAAAACACTGCCATAGCATTTGTTCTCTTTATTTATGGTAAAAGTTTTTATTTTCCATCAACCTGTTTTTTGCTATTTCACAGATCAAATCAGATTGAGAAAAAATCTTTGCCATGAAAATGAAATAAATGAAGAAAATCATGGAAGTTTTCAATATTTCTTTGGAAACTTCATCTAATTTGCTTTAAACTTTTTCCAAAACTTGAAAGCATTTCAAGTATCAGAAAAATAAAGTTTTTAGTGTATGTAAGAATAGATCTATATATACATATACATGATTGTTATTAATGAATATAAAAAGCACACTGGTATTTTTTATGTGCTGTAGTTTAGATAGATATCTGCTTGTTTCTTAATCATTCTTGTTCCATTTTGCAGAAGTTACCAAGGAAGATCTACTTGAAATTCAAACTGTAGAACCAGTTAATGCAATGGAGATGGACTTTTCTGAGGCAGAAACTGTTTCCACGGCAACAGAACTGCCACAGGAAATGGTGGACATCATGGCTGATAATTTGGTGGTAGCAGAGCCACCAGAATATGAGGCAGTTGAAGACAAGGATCCACCAGCATTGTCAGAAGAGGAGGTTCTCTCCCCTGCCGAAAACCAGGCTGTTGAGGTACATCGAGTTGATGAGGTGGTGGCAGAGGAGATCACAGAAATTGTAGAAGACCTGATTCAGGATCTTCCTGTGGTGGAGAGTAATGGTGACGCAACAGACGGTCGACGTGACAGTCTGGAGGACTATGAGGATGCCAGTGATCGCCTCGATCCCGAAGGAGGTGCTGGTCTGGAAAGTGGACTTGAGGAGGACATGGTAGTGAGTTCAGAAAGGGGAGACAATCTCACCGAGAGTAGTGAGAAAGGAGATAATTTAACAGAAAGTGATGTGGAGATGCGCGATGTTGAAGGAGACGAGGTGGAGAAACGGGACACTGAGGGCGAGTGTAACAGTGACACTGACAATAAAAGGACACAAAGTGATCATATTCTCTCCAGCACGGATCAATGTGCTGTCGACAACAGGCAGCTTATAGACAGTTCGTGTGTACTGGACAACAAATCGGACCTAGACCGTCTGACGGTGGAAGGTGGCGCCGCCCTGGAGATGACTGTAGACATTTAGTGACCTGTATAATCCATAACTTACTTGTCATTTAGGCGGTGTGTTCACGGGTCTCGCTATGCCAGCAGCACAAGGGTGGTCAGTGGTCACTTAATACAGGTGGGGTCAGCGGTCACTTTGTACAGGTGGGGTCAGCATTCATTTTTTACAGGTGGAGTCAGCAATCACTTTGTACAGGTATGGTCAGTAGTCACTTCTCACAGATGTGGTAAGTGGTCAATTGGTACAGGTGTGGTCAGCAATGAATAGGTGTAGTCACTTGTCACTTTGTTCAGTTGTGATTATTAGAAGACAATTTACAGTAGGCAACACCAAATGGTATCATTACAATATTGATCACAGGAGACAACAGCAAACGGTATTACAATATTGATCTTGAAAGACAGAACCACAAGTTTTAATTATATTGATACAGGGGACAGAATAACAATAATACTATCCTGATGCTGTAACTTCCTCCTACAGGTTGCAGGATCAGGAAACATGTACCAATCTGATATACTGTGGAGATTTGGGTTCATTGTTACACCTCTAGAATCTGGTTTACCTGGTGGCTATGTTGTGTTACACATATACGATCTGATGCATCCTGGGGTTGGAGATATTGTGTTACTTTATACCTGTAAAATCTGCTGTACCCCAGGATAAGGTGACTGTGTTAATCCTGTACAACCTGATGTGCCCAGAGGTTTGTTCGGTGTACAAGTCAACCTTGTACTTAGTCAGTGTGCTATTATAGCTAGTAGCCATCATACAAGACTTTTTAATGCAATATTCTTCCATGTATAATTCTAGAATGTGATACATACACAGTGGAATACACCGTGACCAGCTTCTGATCGACATCTTTTATAACATCTGAATCAAGAGTTTTTATGTAAAAGTAACTACATTGGTTATGTTCAGAACTTGAGGCTCATTTACTCTCAGAATGAGGCTCACATCCTCTCAAAATGAGGCTCACATCCTCTCAGAATGAGGCTCATTTACTCTCAGAATGAGGCTCACATCCTCTCAGAATGAGGCTTGGGAAAGTTTGGTCATCATTTTTAGGAGGAAAGAAATCTTTGTATAGATGACAGCATCATTAGGGAAAAGTCACAGGGAAGGGGGTCACTTTAAGAAGGTGCCAGGAAGAAAGGGGTCACTTTGTTGGTGCCAGGAAGAACGGGGTCAATTTAAGGAGGTACCAGGAAGAAAGGAATCACTTTGGGGGTGCCAGGAAGAAAGGGGTCACTTAAGGGGTGCCAGGAAGAAAGGGGTCAATTTAAGGAGGTGCCAGGGAGAAAGGAATCACTTTGGGGGTGCCAGGAAGAAAGGGGTCACTTTAGGGATGCCAGGAAGAAAGGGGTCACTTTAAGGAGGTGCCATGAAGAAAAGGATAACTTTAAGGAGGTGCCAGGAAGAAAGGGGTCAATTTAAGGAGGTGCCAGGAAGAAAGGGGTCACTTTAAGGAGGTGCCAGGAAGAAAGGGATCACTTTGGGGTTGCCAGGAAGAAAGGGGTCACTTTAAGGAGGTGCCATGAAGAAAGGGATAATTTTAAGGAGGTGCCAGGAAGAAAGGGGTCAATTTAAGGAGGTGCCAGAAAGAAAGGGGTCAATTTAAGGAGGTGCCAGGAAGAAAGGGGTCACTTTAAGGAGGTGCCAGGAAGAAAGGGGTCACTTTAAGGAGGTGCCAGGATAAAAAAATGGGGTCACTTTAAGGAGGTGCCAGGAAGATAGGGGTCACTTTGGGGGTGCCAGGAAGAAAGGGATCACATTAAGGAGGAGTTAGAAAGAAAGAGGTCACTGCAGGGAAGTGTTAGGAAGAAATGATGGTTGTAAAATGAAGTGGAGAGGAAGGGGTTTGATACAGGGAAGTGTAGGGAGGATAAGTCATTCTAGGTGTCATTAGGAAGATGGTCATGGTGACATTATTCCTTGAAGTGTGTGGCTAGTATATATGTTTTAAAAGTTATCAGCTGTTCATTTCTCTTCTAACTTATGCATTTGTTTCCATGTCTACTGTTTTTAATCATTCTCTATTGCTAATGTTGGTGTCTGAGAGAGTAAGGTGTGAGGAAAGAGAGAGAAGAATGAAGTGAGAGGAAGGGAGAAAGGAGTAAGAATGCAGTGCAGCAAATGCATTGTCACAAATATTCTATTTGAGGGATTTCTTTCCATATTTTAAATTGTTTCATGGTGATGTCTTTCGTCTACAAGATACTGTGCTGATTTATTGTATATTTTCTGTATAGTATATATCTGTACAGCGTTTCAGTATACCTGTACAGTGTAAATATTCGGTAGTTTTACCTCTGTACAGCAAACCTTTCTTCCAACATATGTCTGACCCAATTAATTTACAGACATGCATCTACAAGGTATATGTTTATAATGTGTTATTAGTAGAGATTGAGAAATACTATACACTTGATATGATAATGTAAAAATGTCTACAAATCCTGTACAACTACTAGTTTGTGTCAAAGAACACAAATTTCCTGTAACAGCCTCTCAGTGCTAACCAATATCATCTGTTTGTAAGTTACTTGTTAAGAGAAGTGTGACTTAATTTTAAACAATTTTAATTCTTTTGATGCATTGAAGCTGTGCTTATGCAACATGTGGAATCTTGAACAACATGTTGTTTACATAACAAAATGTTCATCTGGCGAAGTGTTGTTTATCTAGCAACAAGTCTGGCTAGCAAATTAATGTTCATTTGGCAAAATGTTGATTATCGAGCAAAATGTTGATTATCTTAACGACCTGTTCATCTACATAGTGACATGTGTTTTTTCTATCTCTATGTATCAACCTGTGGTTGAGACATGTTTAAATAGAGACTTGTTATTTATCTAGTGACACTCTACAGACAGGTGGTCTGTGCTGTAACCAGGAAAACGTGTAAAATCAATACTGCCTTTACCTGAACTGGTTGAATGTCATTGAGATATGCATGACTTGCTGATTTCAATGTGATTTAATCATCAAGGATTTTATATTAGACATTCTCAGGCTTGTGTTCTTTTTCTGCTCCAAGTATACTTATACCCATTTTTCATACTGGTCAGGACTGGTCCAACCATAAAACCTGCCAGCAATCACTTAGCATTACAACAGACAAGAAGGTAAAGGATTGTTGACCAATAGGTATTGGGCAGAGACCACCTGACTAGCACCAGCATATATAGAGGTCGCCTTGCAAGTGTTTGCAAAGACTGCCTGGCCAGTACTGGTGTGGGCAGAGGCTGCCTGGCCAGTATTGGTGTTGGCAGAGGCTGCCTGGCCAGTATTGGTGTTGGCAGAGGCTGGCTGGCTGGTACCATTATGGGTGGAGACTGCCTGGCCAGTATCGGTGTGGGCAGAGGCTGCCTGGCGAGTATTGGTGTGGGCAGAGGCTGCCTGGCTGGTACCATTACGGGTGGAGACTGCCTGGCCACTATTGGTGTGGGCAGAGGCTGCCTGGCTGGTACCATTATGGATGGAGACTGCCTGGCCAGTATTGGTGTGGGCAGAGGCTGCCTGGCCAGTATTGCTGTGGGCAGAGGCTACCTGGCCAGTATTGGTGTGAGCAGAGGCTATCTGGCTGGTACCATTACGGGTGGAGACTGCCTGGTCAGTATTGGTGTGGGCAGAGGCTGCCTGGCCAGTATTGGTGTTGGCAGAGGCTGGCTTGCTGGTACCATAGTGGATGGAGACTGCCTGGCCAGTATTGGTGTGGGCAGAGACTGCCTGGCCAGTATTGGTGTGAGCAGAGGCTATCTGGCTGGTACCATTATGGGTGGAGACTGCCTGGCCAGTATCGGTGTAAGCAGAGACTGCCTGGCTGATACCATAGTGGATGCAGGCTGCCTGGCCAGTTGCAATTTGTGGGTTAGCGGCTAGGCCAACACCAGCGTTTTATATTATATGTATTGTGTATGTAGTAAGTGCTTGTACCCAAAGTGGTTACTTCCTGTTGTATATAGAAATATTATAGTGTATCTACTGTAATTTAAATTCTTCTGAATGCATTCAGGAACTTGTTGGATATTTTGCAAACTAGAGAAGAAAGAAAGAGCATGTTTATAAACAAGCTTGCTTCTGTCATTGTTACTATACTTAACAAATCATGAACGGCTGCAATCATGGAAAAGTATTCTAATAAAAGGTACAAACTAAATCATATTTGTTTTCTCTTTAACAAAATGTGGTTCTGAAGAATTACCTAATTTTAAAAAATACACCCAAGAAACAAACAAAACTTTGTTCAAACCAGACAAAAGATTACTTCCAGTTGAGCTAGAGTCTCCATAAAGACATACAGAAGGAACTGTTGGTTTCACATTGTGCCAGATCTGAAAGCTCTCCTATACAACATAACGTGACACATGATGCTGTAATCAAGCTATGACAAACTACCTGGCATTGCGGAAAGGTCGTGACCCTTTCATTTAATCTACCTTTTCTGATTAGCCAGACATTTCAGATGGAAAAAACAGTTACGGTCTTGTTCTATGGCCACACACTTGATGTAATAAAAAACAAAAAATATAATTGTTCAAGAGAATCTAAATTCAAACCTGAAGGGCCGGTTTCCAAAACGGCCCCTTCTCTGATTCAAATTTCCTGTTGGTGGTGCATTGCCCATGCCGTTGTGGTCACAAATCTATAAAGTATAAAGATTTAGGTCACTTGATTTGTTTTTTATGGCTCCTCAAAGTGTTGATAAAATGATAGTCACCGTAAAGAATACATTCATGGTATGATTGTGACAAAAAATCATGTTTCCATCGCTCCATATGGCTGTTTTATGGAAGAAACAATCTCAAAAATGTCATTTTCGATGATACCATTTTAGACACAAAAACTGTGTTTTTTTTTAGAGAATACACCCTTTTATGGGCGTTGGATGCAAACCAATTTTTATCCTATTAAATAGTACGTAATATGCTATTGATGAGAGGAAAAATCATCAAAATGTAAGTGGTGGAACATTTTCAAATGTTGGGTTGAATTAGCCTATGGTTGAATTGCCGATTTTCGACTTTCTTTAGATAATTAACAAAAAAACGAGAGTATTTGCTCGGTATGTTGAGAATATGTACACAGATATGAAAAAAAGTGAGAGAAACACTTTTTCATAAAAAAATCCAAGATGGCCACTTCACAAGTCCCCGTGGTTGAAGACATTGGCTGACAAATAGACAGAACAACAAACAAAACGTGTTCCTTATGATTTTGGTTGGTTTTCGCATTTACGGGAGTGTTCATAGCTACGGGCGATTGTATAATACCTATATTTATAAGTTTGGTTAGTCACATGGTAACGGGGATCTTTCATATCGAGCCCCAAACATACTTTCGACATATGCACTCCGTTGCCGCATGGAAAACTATTTCAAGTTTTGTCGGAATTTCTTTACCTGTGGTTGTAATGGTCGAGGGTTTTCCAGCGTCCTGTAATACCCAAGGTAGTACAAGATACTGGAGATGTGCGCACACATTCCCATCGTTCTCTCTCCAACTGGGCACTGGCAGTAGTAGTCCTTTATTGGGGCCTCAACATCGGGTGAAACGGTGAACCGTATCCAAACGTTATATTTCGTTTGGCTTTTGTGTCGAGAATGTATTTGACATCGGAGAAGGTCTGTGGAGTGCTGGTAAAGCCACACCTCATAGTCTCCGTCATCACTTAAATGTTCGGCGATGTAACCAGGAGCCAGAGATATCTGATACGTTCCACACGTAATGGTTCTCAAGTAATCAAGATCGAGACGGGGAAACAGTACGGAAGATGCATCCATCTTGACAAACTCGGACCTTGCCCGTCTAGATAGATCCGGATCTATCTTGACTCTCTGAGCTAAACCGTTCGGTGTTGTCAAACGGTCCTTCATACGTTCAGCCATTAGCCTATCTTTGGCATCTCTCTCTGGAGATCTCTGGTAGATCGGTCCTCCAATACCATTCAGACAGGCTGTGACGGTTCGAAGCAAAGCCTAAATGACATTGATAAAGCTGTTAGGCACCAATTACGTTCGGAAGAATGTCCAGTGTTTCAGACAATCCACCTCGATTTGGTGATAGTTCTGTCAAGATTTGCTTGGACGTCAGAATGTTGACTTTGACCGGGTTTCAGGTATGACAGCATGCTAGCATTGAGGCCAGAGGCTTCGAGAACTGGTAGGACATCTCTAAAACCTCGGTCAACGACAACGTTGTCGTCTGGTTGTAGCCAAGTAACTAGCTTGTCCATGACTTTTTTTGTAATTGTAGCATCATTTTCGCTGCCAGTGAATGGTCCTACGGTGTCCAGAATGTAGCCATCTGGTAAGGCGATGCTCATGAATTTGACATAGTTTCTCTTCTTCTGGCCACAGTAGGACATTCTCTGAAGCTTGTGGTCGGAGCTTTTCTGGATATAAATATAGGTGCCATCTATTATGGCCGTGGCTTTATCTCAAAAAATGCTTCTGAAAAGACAGTATTGTGCCCGAGCAATTGTTCTCTTGTCAAGTGATCCGGACCTAGAAATTGTGGGACTATCGATGTGTCTAATGCCTGTACTATGGAGTGGAAAGTTTTGGACACACTTGACTTGGAAATTCCAAAAAGAGAAGAACGCTGACTCCAGGAAATGTCGGTTTTCAGTTTTACCCAGAACAGTAATAGAGCATCGTGTGTAGTCTTGGTATATATACCAGATGAAAGATATGGGGAACAGTGCGAGTGGATTTCGAGGAACTGATCTTTGGACCAACCTGTCCAGGCCATGCATGCCGAGTCATCAAGAGAAGAAAAGCTTATTGTAAACGCAGACTGGTTCTGTGAAAGGACGTGCGACACCTCTAGGAGGTCATTGATGATTTCGAACGATTTTGATGGTAACTGAGATTCCAAGGAACCTCTACCATCAACGACAACCTCTGTAGACGGATTTAAGTCGTTACCAATAAGGTGAATGGAGCAGACGCGGGATGAGGTGGGACACCACAGTTTGTGTGAATAGATCAGGTGATGTCTTGCACGTTTTGGTAAGACTGATGATTTTGTTCCATTTTTTGGAAAGGTAACAAGACAGAGACAACATTTTTGTGTGAAGATGATCCATTCAAAAGATCATGAAGAGTCAGCAACGGCAGGATATGGGACGGGGAGTCGTCTTCTTCCTCTATATCCTGGTTCTGCTCGGGTTCAGGTTTAGGCTGATTTTTGTGTTCCGAAGATACTTCATGTAGCACTTCTGGCAAATAAATGCTTGTTCCTTTGCTGACATCAATCCTTGTTGCACCAGCGTATCTAGGAGCCATTTATATTGTGGACTATTTACATTGCGTGCACTTCTGTTCTTATTGCCACTACGTTTCTTTAAGTATACTTGACACTCTTCTCCAACACATTTACCCTCCATCTTGAAACAATAACGATTGGTTTATGAAGCGTCGATAAAGTAACAAAATAGCAAGCCACCGATGATTGCTGTAAACAGCTAATACTTAGTAGTTTGGTACAATTATGCGAAAATGTGTGATAAATAACGAACAACTAATTACACAAAATAACAAGAGAATATAATAAATCACATTCAATACCTCCAAGAAGCGCAGAATTGATTGAATACTTAGAGCAAAATATAGTATTTCATATGGATAATCTATCTATTCGATGTGGCGTGGTCGGCAGGCACAAAGAAATTGAGACAAGTCAGGGTCTCAACCCTGACAGAGCCACAACGCTTTGGAGATGGGACAATAAAACAAGGAAATTGAGACAAGAATAGCTAGCGTCGAGTGATTGATTTCGTAAACGTATAGACAATGACAAGAAGATACGGATAAATGTACAAGGCCACACGATCAGAAAATTCAGAAGAGGACAGCTTGAGATAGAACAGTATTCATGCATCAGGGTGTCCTCAGTGTAAATCTTTATATCGATACTATTTATTTAGTCGTTACACATCATAAAACTGTCATGAAAATATCCGCTCTGATATTCAATATAAAAGTTAGTATATAATAAGCTATATAATAGGGTTTCAGACAAGGTTGTTACTCATTTCCCCTTTTCTTTCAATTTACAACCACATTCAGGCGGCGATATGAGAACGTTCCACCACATGGAATTAACTGATTTTTTTGTACACATATTAAACAAGTAAAGCTCTATCCGATTTTCTGATGGAAATTTGCATCCAAAACTATATAACGGGAGAAAATTGCAAATTAATGGCATTTATCAAAGGAAATTTGTACTATGTTGCGAATTACAATTTCGAGATAACCTTCTTTTATTTACGAACTTATGTCTTTGATGCTGAAATTGACAACTTTATAAAAATACATTTTCACTGAAATTATGAAATCTGGGTGTCGGAAAGGTGTAAAATTATTTTTCGGAAAAGAAAAAAACAGTAGTTGAGCTAGATAAGAAATTATACGGGGGCAGGCTTCTAAGGAAAATTAACATTACTGGAAACAGGCCCTTTGATAAAACACGCGAAAAATCTTAAAATGCTAACTCCTGTGAAAAGCACAGGAACACAAGATTTTTATGTCAGTAAGTTCTGGCGAATTCCTTACATGAAAACGAGGTAAATAACAATAAATAGAATCATTAGGACAACCATTAAAATGTCCCCATAATCTTCATTAACAATCAATAATTTATGTGCCAGGTTGGAAAGGGTCTTACTGTGGGAGAAAACTGGAAATATCCAGAAAGAACTCGTGCGATTGGTCAGCCAAGTGACCCCATATATCTTTTCCTGTCCGATCGGGGAATTGAGCCTTGGTCAATGAGTACGTTATTGCTGTGCCATCAGTCCACACAAAGAAATGATAGTTTCTATTTAACTGGCACGTGAGTGTAATGGCCCAGAATAAAGTGATGCCGTAGCTGTATCGTCCAAATTTTCTCCAGTGAATACTAACCTCACTCCTCCACTGACTTCCTGGTTTAATCCCTGTACATGTTAATTCTATTTTCAAATTTCAAAAGTGAAAAAGTTAAGAGTGTTATTATTTATTTCTGGATTAATTTTCGTATCTGCGCAGTTTTATGTATAGTACATTTGTATGTATACTTCGGTATGAAAGTATTTATACAATTAGAGAATATTTATCTGTTTGAGAATAAGGTGCTTTTTAGATAACTGTCTCTTTTAATGTAGGGGTACGTTTCATGTTAACCATAACAGACATGGCTTTTCGTAAACGAGAAAGCAAACAGTTGCGTGGAGTTTGCTCAACATTCGACATGCAATATTCAACATTCAGAACTTGAATGTTGTGTTTCACAACATATTAAATATGAAGTTTGAAATATGAAAGTTGTACATCATGACATACTAAATATGACATTCAAAATATGAAAGTTGTGCATCAGGACATACTAAAAACGACATTCAAAATATGAAAGTTGTGCATCAGGACATACTAAAAACGACATTCAAAATATGAAAGTTGCGCATCACCACATACTAAATACGACATTCAAAATATGAAAGTTGTGCATCACCACATATTAAATACGACATTCAAAATATGAAAGTTGTGCAACACCACATATTAATTACGACATTCAAAATATGAAAGTTGTGCATCACCACATACTAAATACGACATTCAAAATATGAAAGTTGTGCATCACCACATACTGAATACAACATTCAAAATATGAAAATTGTGCAACACCACATACTAAATACAACATTCAAAACATGAAAGTTGTGTATCACCACATACTAAATACGAAATTCAAAATATAAAAGTTGTGCATCACCACATTCTAAATACGACATTCAAAATATGAAAATTGTGTATCAGGACACACTAAATACGACATTGAAAATACGAGTTGTGCATCAAGTGATACTAAATACGACATTCAAAATATAAAAGTTGTGCATCATGACATAATTAATACGACATTCAAAATATGAAAGTTGTGCATCACCACATTCTAAATACGACATTCAAAATATGAAAGTTGTGCATCAGGACACACTAAATACGACATTGAAAATACGAGTTGTGCATCAAGTGATACTAAATACGACATTCAAAATATAAAAGTTGTGCATCACGACATTCAAAATATGAAAATTGTGCAACACCACATACTAAATATGACATTAAAAATATGAAAGTTGTGCATCATGACATTCTTAATACGACATTCAAAATATGAAAGTTGTGCATCACCACATACTAAATACGACATTAAAAATATTAAAGTTGTTTATCATGACATACTTAATACGACATTCAAAATATGAAAGTTGTGCATCACCAAATACTAAATACGACATTCAAAATATGAAAGTTGTGCATCAGGACACACTAAATACGACATTCAAAATAGGAAGGTGTGCAACACCACATATTAATTACGACATTCAAAATATGAAAGTTGTGCATCACGACATACTAAATACGACCTTAAAAATATGAAAGTTGTGCATCACGACATACTAAATACGACATTGAAAATACGAGTTGTGCATCAAGTGATACTAAATACGACATTCAAAATATAAAAGTTGTGCATCACGACATTCAAAATATGAAAATTGTGCAACACCACATACTAAATATGACATTAAAAATATGAAAGTTGTGCATCATGACATACTTAATACGACATTCAAAATATGAAAGTTGTGCATCACCACATACTAAATACGACATTCAAACTATTAAAGTTGTGCATCACCACATACTGAATACGACATTCAAAATATTAAAGTTGTGTATCACCACATACTAAATACGACATTCAAACTATTAAAGTTGTGCATCACCACATACTAAATACGACATTCAAACTATTAAAGTTGTGTATCACCACATACTGAATACGACATTCAAAATATGAAAATTGTGCAACACCACATTATAATTACGACATTCAAAATATGAAAGTTGTGCATCACCACATACTAAATACGACATTCAAACTATTAAAGTTGTGCATCACCACATACTAAATACGACATTCAAACTATTAAAGTTGTGCATCACCACATACTGAATACGACATTCAAAATATGAAAATTGTGCAACACCACATTATAATTACGACATTCAAAATATGAAAGTTGTGCATCACCACATACTAAATACGACATTCAAAATATGAAAGTTGTGTATCACCACTTACTAAATACGACATTCAAAATATAAAAGTTGTGCATCACCACATTCTAAATACGACATTTAAAATATGAAAATTGTGTATCACCACATACTAAATACGACATTCAAAATATGAAAGTTGTGCATCACCACATACTAAATACGACATTCAAAATATGAAAGTTGTGCATCACGACATACTAAATACGACATTCAACATACGAGATGTGCATCAAGTGATACTAAATACGACATTCAAAATATAAAAGTTGTGCATCACGACATTCAAAATATGAAAGTTATGCATCACCAAATACTGAATATGACATTCAAAAGATGAAAGTTGTGCATCATGACATACTTAATACGACATTCAAAATATGAAAGTTGTGCATCACCAAATACTGAATATGACATTCAAAAGATGAAAGTTGTGCATCACCACATTCTAAATACGACATTCAAAATATGAAAGTTGTGCATCACCAAATACTGAATATGACATAAAAATATGAAAGTTGTGCATCACCAAATACTGAATATAACATTCAAAAGATGAAAATTGTGCATCATGACATACTTAATACGACATTCAAAATATGAAAGTTTTGCATCACCAAATACTGAATATGACATTCAAAAGATGAAAGTTGTGCATCACCACATTCTAAATACGACATTCAAAATATGAAAGTTGTGCATCACCAAATACTGAATATGACATTCAAAAGATGAAAGTTGTGCATCACCACATTCTAAATACGACATTCAAAATATGAAATTTGTGCATCACCACATACTGAATATGATATTCAAAATATGAAAGTTGTGCATCACCACATTCTAAATGCGACATTCAAAATATGAAAGTTTTACATCACCACATACTAAATACGACATTCAAAATTTGAAAGTTGTGCATCATGACATACTTAATACGGCATTCAAAATTCGAATGTTACACACCATGACATACGACATACGAAAACCAACAAGACTGAGAAGGAGAATGAAGAATTCCATCAACTCTGGGTGACGTTCTCGCTGCAATCATAAGACACTATCTCTTAGTCCTTACTATAATATCAAATTATGCAATTGAATGAATTAGTGATGTCACTAAAATAAATAATTGTCATCATTTTATTGAGCTTTCTCGTGGCTTTCAAAGAGTAGACGTTTAAGGCTTCTTTCAAATAATGATTTAGTGACATCATAATTATGGTTTACTGACGTCACTATAATCATTTACTGACATCACTATGATCATTTACTGACGTCACTATGATTCAGTGACATCACTATAACGATTTTGTGACATCACTTTAATGATTCAGTGACATCACTATAATGATTCAATGACATCACTATAATGATTTAGTGACATCACTATAATGATTCAGTGACATCAATATTATGAATGTGACTTCACTATAATGATTCGGTGACATCACTATAACAATTTTGTGACATCACTTTAATGATTCAGTGACATCACTATAATGATTTAGTGACATCACTATAATGATTCAGTGACATCACTATAATGATTTAGCGACATCACTATAATGATTCAGTGACATCACTGTAATGATACTGTGACATCACTAAAATGATTCAGTGACATCACTATAATGATTCGGTGACATCACTATAATGATTCGGTGACATCACAATAATGTTTCTATGACATCACTATAATGATTTTGTAATATCATTTTAATGATTCAGTGACATCACTATAGTGATACTGTGACATCACTATAATGATTCAGTGACATCACTATAATGATTCGGTGACATCACTATAATGATTTTGTGACGTCACTATAATGATTCAGTGACGTCACTATAATGATTCAGTCACATCACAAATAATTCAGTGACATCACTATAACGTTTTAGTGACATCAATATAATGATTTAGTGACATCACTATAACGATTCAGTGACATCACTATAATGATTTTGTGACGTCACTATCGATTGAGTGACACTGTGATAATGATCTACTAAATTCACTTTACTATTTAGTAATTTCTGCACAATTGATTTGACGTCAATATACACATAACGATTTATTGACATCAGGTTATATTTAATTATCATCTTTAACATACAAATGTTTTATTTGTTGTTATTCACACCCAAAAACATATTTGAACGATTCTTTTGAATATGATTTTTATTAAATGAAAAATTGACGTAAATTTCGTCAGGTTGTTTCTAAATTTACGTAGTGCAAATGTTATTATACAAATGTTCATATAAAATAAAAACAATTTATACGATATACATGTACATGCATGAAATGAAACCAAAAGCCTAATTCGATTTAAAATATATTCCATGTAATATACGGTGCCGGTCAGTGATAAAGAAAAAAAACTGCATGGAAATTAGATTCGGGGAAAATTGTGTAAATCGAAAGTGAAAGTTGGAAAACCCAAGTCTCCGTCAAAGCGTTTTCGAGACCATACGTTTCAACAGTACAACGATAGACGGTGTGTGTAACGCGTCTTTTGGAAATTAAGGACCATTTGAAATTTGACATCACTTTAGAAGCTTTATGCAGATACAGCGATTTATAAACATTTCATTCTAATATGTCCACGGGAAGTCGTGCAGGTGAAAAACAAGGTATGTATATGTTTCACAGCCTAAAGGGATTAAATGTAAATCGTTAACATAAATTTCTCTGTTGTAACTTGATAGGGCACCTGCAATGGTATGTTTCTATTTTGGACGTAAACGTTAGCACAGTCATACTCTCTGTGTAGTAGAGGAAAGAAGAATGTGAAACAAAAAGAAAACATTGAAATAACAATGAAACAATATGATGAAAAATGTAAAATGTTAGTTTTGGTTGTTATTTCGCAAATGTTTTTACATTATATTTGCATTTGCTTCAAGATTACTTGAATTTACCTGTAACATACTTTAATATTCAATATCTTTAATAAAATGAAAATCTGTATTTTATGTGAACCAGTGCTGTATGATTAAATGATTTCACTCGTCGATCTGATACTTAATGGTGATTGTGATTATATGACAGTACAATATTCATGTTAAGATCTAGGTGTCACACATTCATAATCATTCTATAGGACATCAGGTCTCTCACACCCCATTTTGGGACTGGGGCCCGGGGCCCTTAGAATTGGGAAAAATAGCGGCGTTTCTCTTAGAATTGGGAAAACTTGGGGTCTAAATTGGGAAAAAAAGATAATATTTTGCATGGGGTATTCGGCCCCAAATCTGGCAGATCGGGAGCCCTGGAAGTATTCCATATTAGATTGTTTTTAAAGCCCACTGGGTTACATTTCTTTGTTTAGTGATGTTTTTGTCAAGGTTCTTTACATGCATGTTCCTCGATTACCTTGTAATCTGGATAACTTGATGCTTGAGTTCCTGTAATCTGAAGGGACTGTAATTTAGTTTCACTTGCTGTATTTATACAAGGTGATAACTTGGCTACATTTTATACCTGTCCGTTTTCAACACTGACATCTGCCACTAGGAAATGTTATCATAAAACAGTGAATTTTAGGTACACAATTAAATTTGATACTTTGTTTTCCTGACAGCTAATCTCCGGGAAAGAAAACCAAAAAAAGATGAGGCGAAGCAGAATGTGCCTTCAGAGGATTATCTTGGGCAAGAAGGTCCTGATAACGATACGGTGCAAAAACGGATAATGTCATTTACACCTGTACAATATGGCTTAGGCATAATAACAATGCTGGTACTAGTAATGGGAAGTACTGTGTAAGTACTTAACTGATTAAATATACATGATTAAGTGAGAGATTATGTCACATACTCTGATACCTACTACTCAGTCTGGATTTGTAATCACAGGTGATATCCAAGTTACATGGATTGACACTATCTACCTGTGACGGATTTGGTTTCTTGGGAAGCTGAGAGATGAAGTAGTCTCACAAAGCGGATGTGGTTGCATCCTTGGGCAAGATACTTTATTGTAATATAAAGATTTTATATGAAATTCTTACTGATATTACAGTGTAATTTGGCATTCCTGCAAATGTCTTGGCTTTTTGTATGTTTCTGCTAATATGATTTAATTTAGTGTGCTTGTTGTTTACTTTTTTTGTTTATTTTACATATTTTCCTTTCTCTGACTTCCCTGTTAATATCATGGTTTGCATTATATGATATTACTGGTTTTAGCATGGCTCACTTTATATGGCATTCCTGTTAATATCACTGTTTATTTAATGCAACATTCCTGTTAATATCACTGTTTACTTTTGTGACATCCCTGTTGATATCACATTTTCCATTTTGGAAGGACCCTGGTCATAACATCACTTACTGTGATTGACATAGTTAACTTTCACATTAGTGTCAATAGCATGGTTTCCCTTATGGAAAATGAATGAAGAAATGAATTCAAAAATAAGTTTAACAAAAGAAGATTGGTAGTAATTTTCCAGTCCTTACTCTCCTTTGTGGACAATATAGGTGATAATAGTGTAACGTCATGAGGAATATCATTCCATCATGTATCTATGTATTTCATATTATTGAATAGAAAATATTTAGAAGTTTTTTTTAGGTTAAGATAGATCTGAAAGCACAGTACTCCTTATAAGGGCCTTAAACCATACCTTTTACTGGGGATGCAAGAAGGTAATGCCACATTGTCTGGTACATACGTAAATCATTTTTGAGAACATTGAGGCCTGCAGCTTGTACTGAGAAATGTACTGATGGACTTTACAAGTCTATTGGATGTTTTTTTAAACTATTATTTTTAATATCTGGGATGGTCAGGTGGTGCAGTGGTAATGCACTCGCCTTTCTCCTAGCAGACCGGGGTTCGATTCCCGTAACGGACATGAAAAGGTAAGGGGTCACCTGCCCGACCACGTGGGTTTTCCCCGGATACTCCGGTTTCCTCCCACAATGACCCCTCGTGCACTTACATTTGGGCCAACAAAAGTGATTAGTATAAGTTGACATAACTTGTTTCGCAATTGTTGTAAAATAAATAAAGTTAATATTATATATCTGTTGTCTGTTGCAGGTATACATTGCATGCTAGAAATGGAGAACTTGTATCCAGGATAGAAAAATTAGAAAGGAAAATTCTAATTGACCAAGATATTGAGAAGCTCCAAAGTGTTGTTAAAAAGTTGGAAGGCAGCAGTTCAGAGTTGGAAACAAAGGTTAAAACAATGGATAACACAGTTAAGAAATTGGAACCAAAAGTTAACGAATTGGATGAAACATTTGATAAATTAAAACCTACAGCAGCGGCATGTAAGGAAACTATAGACAAGTTAGAGCCAAAACTTGTCACATTGGATCAAACTGCTGACAAAATGGAACCTAAAGTTGAAACAATAAAGGAAAAAGTCTCAAAAATGGAACCGAAAGTTGACGAAATGGATGCAAAAGTTACCAAACTGGAACCAGTAGTCAAACAAATGGATGGAAAATTTCAGATATTGGAACCAAAAGTTGACAAAAGCTCTAAATTGGTTGAAGGAATGGAACCAAAAATAAAAATATTAGATGAAACGGTCAAGAGCTTACAACCAAAAGTTAAAATGATTGATGATAAAGTTGGAGAAATGGAACCCAAAATGGAGCATTTGGATGATATAGTTATAAAATTAGAACCAACGGTGGAAGAAATGAGTGGAGCAGTTAAGGAAATGGAACCAACAATTAAAATGTTAGATTTAACATTTAACAGATTAAAACAAGAAATTGAGAAGTCAGATGGAATAATGACAGAATTAAAACCAAAAATAGAAACAATCAAAGAAACATTTGACAGATTAGAACCAAAAGTTGATAGAACTGATAAAACTGTTCAAAAATTAGAACCAGTAATTCAAGACATGGACAGAAAAGTTGACAAATTAAAACCAACGGTTGGAGGTTTAGATGAATCAGTTAAGAGCATGGAAGAAAGAATTGAAACCTTGAACACCAAAGTGTCCGATACAGAGAGTAAGTATCAAAGTAACATTAAAAAAACAAAGAAAACAAACTTATGTGAGGATCAGGATAGATGTGTCCTGACCTTCAATGTTTTTATCTTCTAAAGTTTAAAATCTTTTAATGGACTTCATTACCTGTTTTTATCCAGCATTAAACCAGGCAGGAGGGGTTTAGGATAGGTGGGAGGGGGTAAGGACAGCTGGGAGGGGGTAGAGGGAGGGAGTGAGGACAGGTGGTAGGGGATAGTGGGAGGAATTAGGACAGATGGAAGGGGGTAGTGGGAGAGGACAGGTGGTAGGTGTAGTGGGAAGGATAAGGACAGATGAGAGGAGGTAGTGGGAGAGGAAAGATGGGAGGGGTAAATCCAGGTGGGATGGGGTATAAAACATAATACATAGTGATTCACAATGTCAGCCCAAGTAATACATAGTGATTCACAATGTGGCTATGTATTACTTAAGCTGAGTAAGGGAATCACTATGTATTACTTTAGCTGAGTAAGGGAATCACTATGTATTACTTAAGCTGAGTAAAGGTATCGCTATGTATTACTTTAGCTGAGTAAGGGAATGGTTATGTACAATTTTTTGTGACATTATGAATCACTGTGTATGCCGATAATCTGTCTGAATTTATAGAATTATTAAGTGAAGAATTGAAGTAGTTTAATAATTCTTTGTTTTAATTGCAGCATTAACAGGTGATGTAAGAGATTTGAAGAACATAACTGAAGAAATGCATGAACGCTTGAGTAACCTTGGTAATTATTCCTGGAAAAAACTTCCAGAGAGTCACCTACGGTTAGATCACCTGGAATTATCTTCGAGCTCCCATTTCAAATTCTTGTGTAAGTAAGGTCATATCATTTTAATGTATAAGACTCTCCATTGAAATCTCCAATAACTATCATTATAAAGGTCAGTATCCTTCACTTTATTTTGCATCACTTAATGATTTCAACAGTCAAGGTCTCATTCCTATATGTGTCACATGACTACAATATATAAGAGTGATTTCTTTTTTTAGACAACATCTACAGCAAATTGTGCTAAATGAAATGATTTTGTAAGAGATACTGAAAAATTATTCATTTTTCTACGATATACTGAAAAATCATTAATTTTCGTTTTGATATACTGAAAAATCATTAATTTTTGTATGACATACTGAAAGAGAATTAATTTTTGTTTGATATACTGAAAAATTGTTAATTTTGTATGAAATACTGAAAGAGAATTAATTTTTGTTTGATATACTGAAAAATTGTTAATTTTGTATGAAATACTGAAAGAAAATTTAATTTTTGTATGACTTACTGAAAGAAAATTAATTTTTGTATGATATACTGAAAAATATATCACCCTCAGGGTAGGCGAAGATTCTAATAATCGACATAATAAAAGGTCAATGAAATAGTTTTTTTTTTTTTGAAACCACAAAAATTGGGGCCCATGAATTTTTTTTTTTCAGTATACCTGTTTACTGTCAATGATATGCAAAGTATAGGTTAATGTTTCCAATCTTGTTGGTTTTACAGGTGTGTTACTGGTGATGTCTTTATGTCTGGTCTGTTGGTCTGTGTACAGTTATTCTCAGATATCAGGGATGAAGAATGTCCAGTACCGTCCAACTTCTGCAGCAGTTAACCAGAGAATTGCCCAGACTCCTACAACAGACAGGGAGTCGTATAGGGTAGGTGTTGATGTCTGGGTCCTTCCTGCCTCATGTATATACAAATTCATTACCTGCTGAAAGATCAAAAGTGACATTATTTTGTGGTAATGAGTCTGGCAGCAACTTGTCCCTTTACATGAATTCTCTATAACCATGAGACCCAGGGTCTATACGGTCTGTATAGCATGCATGAAAGGATTACTTTAATCTACTTTCAAAGTGAAAGGGGTCAAATTTTTTAAAATCTTAAAAATCTTCTTCTCAAAAAGTACTACATGGTTTAGGATATGTAGCATGCTGGCATGAATGATAAGGATACCATATTCAAATAAATGACATTGACTCACTTTCAAGGTCACATGGGCCAAGTGTGGCAAAAGTTCAAACAACTTCTTTTTAATAATCAGGAGCTTCTGGTTTTGAATACATGTTCACCACTGGCAATATATAAACTGTAGAGTTGGAGTTTGTTATTTGAGAGTTACCAAAAGAAAGTTTTAAAAGGCTTCAGAGATTCAGATTGATGAAGATTAGCGGGAAATTTTATGGTCTGTATTCATAATGGTGTCATGTGGGAAAGATTCTGTTTACTTCAGTTATATGAAGTTGGACATGTTTAATACTTGTTTGTATGCCTGCTGGTTCTGTTGTTGTATACTTTGTTCTCATTTTGAAATGTGACAGGACTTAGTTGAATTTACACAGTGAGCATCATCAATGAAGCAGGAATCACTAAGGCTTCAGGAACACCTGGTTATCGCCCTATGTATTTTTCGTGAATTTCGTTTTACTCACTTTTCATCAATCTTGGCCTTGAATTAAGAATCTGATGACATGTCAATATTTCCTTTGATGGGCTGTTCTGGAATAAGACACAAGAAAAATATGAGTTTATCTTTCTTTTCTCTTTCTGTTCAGTCAGTGTTGACCTCTCAGATAATTCATTATTTTTAAATTTTCTCAACAGCCGGTGCAGTCAGTACTTGACAGCATGCATCCCTCATCTCTTGCCAACCAGATATGTGTGATCAGTTTCTACCCCGAGACCATGGCATTACATATGAGACTGGTAGAATCTGCCTGCAGAAATGGAGAACTCGCCAAAGTGGCAAGAGTTAGTTTCTTTTTATCTAATCACAACAGCATCCCTAAATTACCCCGTGTTAAAGTCTTCCTGGTATTTGTGGATTTCAACGAGAGAGATATAATTCTAGAACATCCACAGCGAGAGGTTGGTGACCTTAGACTGACAACTGTCCAAGGAGCTCGCAAACTAGGAGGTTAGTTGATGAGGTCATGGAACTTGTCTATTTTCAAAATTAAAATTAATTTGAAATATTTTGAGATTGACTGTAAATGTATCTTTTTTAGCTGTAATTTTATTTTAGCACTTCTTCCATTGAACAGAACATGCTAAAATATTGTAACACTAATCATAGTTTATACATACTGCTTAATTAGTGATTATTATGGATGCCTAAATGTATGATTGTGCTCATTTGCCAAAAAATATGAAGCACTAAAATTTTAATGCAATAAATTAATAACATGAGACATTGTCTAAGTTTAACTGGAAAATTAATTTTTATCAATACTGATAGTTCAAGTACATGTGATAATTGATTATGAAACTGTAGCCCAATTTCAACAATAGTCAAGATTTTTATATGTTTTCACAGCACATTGTAACAAAATCTATCTTGTTTAACAACAGGTGATGTGTTTGTGGTATATGTAAAGGACAAAGGATCACAGAATCTTGATGGAGGTCAATTGTATAACAAACGTTTGCGCTCCATCGAAACACATCCTGAACTTTCTGACCTCAGTGCTAAACAACGCGTGCTGACAACATTTGATGGGTTTACAGTGCACCAGTGCTCTCATCTTGCCAAATGTTTCTTAAGGACACTACAAAAGTAGTAGCAGCACCAGGTTGACACTCCTTGTTTGTGCTGGAGTTTCCTCCCCTTATTTTCATTCTGATTTTCATTTTTACTGCAACAAAATTTTAATCGGTTCGCTGCGAGTAACTGTGAGCTGTCCTTATAATGCAGTTCCTTTGGTCACAATATCACTGGTTATAACTTAGAAGGTTTAGGCATTTTCATAATTAATTTTTGAAAGGCTTCTTAGACCCTACAATAACATTACACACTCCTAATACTTAGATGTTAACAATTGAAATGCTACAGCAATTTTATGCTGAGATTTCTTTGTATTTTTTCCTTTTTTCTTTTTCATTTTTTTCCCAAAATTGAACATGTATTGGACTCAATCATTTTTATTCAAGAAAAATGAATCAAACCATTATTGGGGTAGATTATTTATTTCATGAATTTTCCATGTTTTGTATGCAAAAGTTTCAGTGTCCACATATATACCTCCCACACCCCTGATGTTTTGCACATATGATATTTAATTCAGTATTGTGTAGTCAAGCTGCTTCTGATGAATTTTGTTATCAATTCGCATCATAATCCAAACTAATCAACACAGCGTCATGGTAAAACTTTGTGTTGTACTATCCGAGAGCTTGACTATAACTGAATTCATTATTGTACTTGTTTGCCAGAAAATAAAAATGTGCTAAAATTTGAATGCCCTAAATTAAGTATGTTTGAAATATACAATATAGAGCATATGTTACTACTTCTTTATTCTAAAGTGTAATTTAGATTTATATATTAAAAAAGTGAGGATATAACCCTTTAATACTACATGTAGCTTCAATATAAGGCTGGGGTTTAGAGATCTTCAGTTAACATGAAACTAGCAGCATGTTGTCATTGAAACATCCATTAAATAAAACATGCTGTAGTGAAACCTGAGGTTTCAGATGTGATCTCCAGAGGTGTAAAGATAGTGATAAGTGTAACAATGAGATGTTCCACAAGATCAAACTGAGATATATGTGTTTTTTTTTTAATTACAATTCCCAAAGAGGGTTACGATATCTGAGGGCCAGAAAACCTGTCAGCATCTGCTAATTTTAGTATAAATATTCTAAGGAAAATTAAAAAATTATATATTCATTTTTGAGTTTTTGGACACAATTTATTTGTTAATGTTACACTGCCAATAATATTGTGGTGTGTTTCTGTTTAGTTAGATGATTATGTAGTTTGGCTTTGTTGTTATTTTTAACACTAAAATTGATTAAAGCTTTTACTGTGACTTGTATATGGTTTATCTTAGTTTGTTTTTTAATCTAAACGAGGATGAATTTTAATGAAACTGTATAAACATTTATCACTTTAGTTCTGTTCATGCTCCTGACTGCTGCAGTAGAATGGTCCCTTCATCCGTTAATTTTTAGGTCACCTGAGCCAAAGTCTCATGGTGACCTATTGCCATCATGATTTGTCTGTCGCCGTGCGTTGTGTGTCATGTGTCGTTAACTTTTCATATATTCGACTTCTTCTCAAGAACCACTGAAGGGATTTTAACCAAACTTGGCACAAAGCATCCCATGGGAAGCTGCTTCAAGTTTGCGAAGAAAAAGGGCGTGGCCCCAATAGGGGCCCAGGAGGGGGAAAAAGGGTGTAAAATTAGGTAAATCTTTAAAAATCTTCTTCTCATGAACCAACAGTCAGATTAAGTTCATATCTGATATTTAGGGTCCTTATGGCAAGGTCTAAAAATGACCCCACTAGTTCTTTGATCCTGTCTGTGTTTTCTCCCAGCAAGCAAAATGTTGTTCCTTAAAGGGCAATGGTTGCCAAGTGGTTAAGGCCTCTGGGCGTATTTATCACATCTATTTAATATGTCCCTGTATATATAGGACTTGATACAACCTTTGGTCTATCATATACGCCCCTGTATATATAGGACTTGATACAACCTTTGGTCTATCATATACGCCCATGTATATATAGGACTTGATACTACCTTTGGTCTATCTTATACGTCCATGTATATCAGACTTGATACTACATTTTGTCTATCATATACGTCCCTGTATATATAGGACTTGATACTACCTTTGGTCTATCATATACGTCCCTGTATATATAGGACTTGATACTACCTTTGGTCTATCATATACGTCCCTGTATATATAGGACTTGATACTACCTTTGGTCTATCATATACGTCCCTGTATATATAGGACTTGATACAACCTTTGGTCTATCATATACGTCCCTGTGTATATATAGGACTTGATACTACCTTTGGTCTATCATATACGTCCCTGTATATATAGGACTTGATACAACCTTTGGTCTATCATATACGTCCCTGTATATATAGGACTTGATACTACCTTTGGTTTATCATATACGTCCCTGTATATATAGGACTTGATACTACCTTTGGTCTATCATATACGTCCCTGTATATATAGGACTTGATACTACCTTTGGTCTATCATATACGTCCCTGTATATATAGGTCTTGATACTACCTTTGGTCTATCATATAAGCCCCTGCAGACATCATTGACTAGATATCAGTGCAAAACACAATTGAAAAGTGGACCTCTATTAATTCCAGCTACAGTGTTTTATCACATAACCAAAAGCCTTAAGTCAAATACTCATACAATGTCACACATCGTTAAACTGATCTCCAACCACCGCTTCCTACGTTATTGCGGAGTGTTATATTGTGTGACACGTTGGATTGAAGACCAGATTCCGATGTGTAATTTACTTTCATCTGGTATGTTCATGTTGTTTTAATAAAACATATAAAGAATTGTTACGATATTTGGTAAATTAAGATTAAAAGATCACGTAATAAATAAGTTGATGACTCCAGAAGAGTAAGCCTCTCCTGCTTCATCGACGACACGCAATGTAAATCTTGGTCAATCCAAGTAAGTAATTTCACGTCCTCAAATGAGAACAATGTATACAACACCGGAACAAACAAGCATTAAATACGTCTAGCTTCATGTCGCACAAAGAAATAGAATATTTCTCAATGAGATCACGATGGCGACCATACATCTTTCCCATAATTTTCACCAATTTGCATCTTTTGAACCCTTGCGTTTCGAGGAAATACAATTTTTACCAATAAGATCTTAATACATGTTAAGCACCATGAATGAGTGATTCATATTTACCATCACTATCTATGAAATTAGTTTCATATCAACCATCATATTTTCATCTCCAAAACAAGTAATACTGATACATGATGTCATTAACTACATTATTTCTGGTGTGCAGTACAGGAAAACATTCAAAAACAAAGCTTCTCAAACTTCTATATTTTTCAAACTTCTTTATTACCAAAAAATACATAATGTAAGAAACCAAATATCCGGAAAAAGTAAATTATAAATAAATGAAAAAGGATACGGAATGAAATATCCGGAATTAACATGGTAAGGGAAATAACTCTTAAGGTACAATTAGAAAATTAAAGTATTTAAATATATATTTAGCAAATTAAACATCTCATATAGTTTGTATATAACACTGGGTTTATATTTAATGTCAAATAATTTCTCTCTATAACTATTATAGCAGAAACAACACGGGAATATTAGTAATACTAGTTCTTCAAAAAATTCTTTCTATAGAAAATTTATGCCTTAAGTTCCCGTTTATTGTTCCTTTTCAAATGATTGATTTTTTATGATTAAAATTTGCAAGTATTTACACAGTTTGATAGAATAGTGTTGAGGTCGCGCTCATTTGATATGTATATATGCAATAATTATGATAATTATTGCCGTACCAGGTATACAACATTGTCAGAATAATTCTGTATTACGTTATGAGTTTAATACCACAAATATATTGCGGTGAATTAAAAAAATTGTCTTATAGAACAACAACAAAATGATATCAATAATTTAATCAAATTAGGACTGACTTTAGATAAAAGAAAGATTTACAAAAAAAAAAAAAAAAAAATTACGAGAGGACTCATGGAAGATTCGAAGCGTAAGCGTTTTCTGGTTTATCGAAGACAACCTATATAACACCCAAACCAGAAGGCAAATTAACAGTAGGCAGGTTTTCACCCCTAAGTCCAATTGGTCGAGTCATACTACCTGTGTGTTGCAGCGTTAGCATCATGTACCTGTTGAGGACAGGCATATAAAGTTTTTCACCCCAAAGTCATACTACCTGTGTGTTGCAGTGTTAGCAACATGTACCTGTTGAGGACAGGCATATAAAGTTTTTCACCCCTAAGTCCAGCTGGTCGAGCCATGATAGCTGTGTGTTGTAGTGTTAGCAACATGTACCTGTTGAGGACAGGCATATAACGGTGTTTACCCCAAAGTCCAGCTGGTCGAGCCATGATAGCTGTGTTTTGTAGTGTAAGCAATATATACTTATTGAGGACAGACATATAACGGTATTCACCTCAATGTCCAGCTGGTCGAGCCATGATAGCTGTGTGTTGTAGTGTTAGCAACATGTAACTGTTGAGGACAGGCATATAAAGTTTTTCACCCCAAAGTCATACTACCTGTGTGTTGTAGTGTTAGCAACATGTACCTGTTGAGGACAGGCATATAAAGTTTTTCACCCCAAAGTCCAGCTGGTCGAGCCATGATAGCTGTGTTTTGTAGTGTAAGCAATATATACTTATTGAGGACAGACATATAACGGTATTCACCTCAATGTCCAGCTGGTCGAGCCATGATAGCTGTGTGTTGTAGTGTTAGCAACATGTAACTGTTGAGGACAGGCATATAAAGTTTTTCACCCCAAAGTCATACTACCTGTGTGTTGCAGTGTTAGCAACATGTACCTGTTGAGGACAGGCATATAAAGTTTTTCACCCCTAAGTCCAGCTGGTCGAGCCATGATAGCTGTGTGTTGTAGTGTTAGCAACATGTACCTGTTGAGGACAGGCATATAACGGTGTTTACCCCAAAGTCCAGCTGGTCGAGCCATGATAGCTGTGTTTTGTAGTGTAAGCAATATATACTTATTGAGGACAGACATATAACGGTATTCACCTCAATGTCCAGCTGGTCGAGCCATGATAGCTGTGTGTTGTAGTGTTAGCAACATGTAACTGTTGAGGACAGGCATATAAAGTTTTTCACCCCAAAGTCATACTACCTGTGTGTTGTAGTGTTAGCAACATGTACCTGTTGAGGACAGGCATATAAAGTTTTTCACCCCAAAGTCCAGCTGGTCGAGCCATGATAGCTGTGTTTTGTAGTGTAAGCAATATATACTTATTGAGGACAGACATATAACGGTATTCACCTCAATGTCCAGCTGGTCGAGCCATGATAGCTGTGTGTTGTAGTGTTAGCAACATGTAACTGTTGAGGACAGGCATATAACGGTGTTTTCCCCCAAAGTCCAGCTGGTCGAGCCATGATAGCTGTGTTTTTATATATATTTATATAAAACATAACGATAACCACCGTTAGTTCGTTGATCGAGCCATGCTATTTTTAGATAACTTGAATAACGACAATGACTCGGGTTACCTGTAGAAGGAAGTAAAATTCTTACCGCGAAAAAGTGTACATGGTAATTGTTTTCAATGTAACCATGGCAAGATTTATACAAAAGCGTATAGAATGTAAAAGTCAAGATTAAAGATTTCCTTGCAAGAAACGAAATCGATCGTGGACATCACAAAGTGAACTTCCCGAGGGAATTTCATCATGAACGATTAAGAGTGGAATAAAGTAATCGAGGTAAGTTCAAAATGTTTAAATGACATCAATAAGAAATTATGTAACCATAAGCTAGAGAGACTTGGATATTGGACAAGACTGAGGTATAGTGTTAATCATGGATGTGTAAGGATAGTCAAATAAGTGCCATGTAAGTTACCTATATATATGTGTAAACATAAACACGTAGTAATCCAGATATACCCAAACTCGAATATTATAGAGCCACATGAGTGTATTGACAATAAAATGGTAAAACCTGACTTAATCGTGGAAAGGTATAAGATTCGAATGACCTCAGAAACACACCTCAGCATGTATGTAAGTCAGAGGCCACGTTCAAAGTTACAATGGTATAATTCTCAAAAATAGTAGATTTCCTGATTTTCCCGACTTAAATACTCCCCTGTAAGTTGATCTTTCATGAAACTGCAAATATGAATGTTTTCTTATCATAGATGAGGACGCTGAGAGGATGACTCGGATACCGATGTAGTTATGCTGTTTATAATAAGAAACAGGGATGCAAGTGGATACATGGGCTAAAGGAAACGTTCTTTATGTAAGAAATTTACTGTTGATACCGGAAATACCCAGTTGTTGATGTGTACACTAACTGAGGATCACATCTGATTGATCTAAAACACTTTATGACTGACGTATCAGCATCAAATATGAAATGTGTAAAACATCCGGGTAATCAGATCATTTCGGTCTCTGTCACGTGTGATTCCACACTGGTCTGTGAGGATTGTATGACGGACGAGCAACACAAATCTCATGTCTTCGAGAAACCAAAAACAATTGCAAATAACATCAAAACAAAGCTACAGAAACAAGAGGAGACAGTATCTGTATTAATGTCCTGCTTAGAGGTGGACTTGGATGAGGCACAGAAGCTAAAATCACAACAAGAACACAACCAAAACAAAATAATCAAAAGAATAAACAACAGCAGAGAGGAAATAATTGAAACTGTTGCTAAGATGGCTGTTAAATTTATATCACAATCCGAGACTCAATTCCAACGTAACTATGTTAAACTACAAAACGTCTCCGATGATATCTCTGCAAAACTGGAAAACATGAGACGACACAGAGAGGAAGTAAAATATCTCATTGACAGCAAAGATGATCTATGTGTGATAGAGAGGTCACAGAAGCTAAAAGATATTGACGAACAAACGACACCTTTACCGGAACTGGAAACAATTGAGTTTACTACGGGAAAAATAAATACCTGTCAGTTAGAGCTCATGATCAGGGGTACCGAGAAAGAACCATCTTTACAAGGAGCTCAAGCACCACGATTTATGTCGTTATCAACGAGTAAAGGATATGATTTCGTTGGTAATCTCCTTCGTCCAAGGAAGGAACTTTTGTTGGAACGGACATTCAAACAGTCAGAATCAAAATCGATAACGTATATATGTTTTGCCTTTGATGGGCAAGCATGGATAAAATGTCACAAAAGCAAAAAAATATCGCTGACGGATAAACACGGACATGTTAAAAAAACGTTAGACTTTGACGTCTTGATTCTTGGTATGACAGTTGTAAATGACCAAACACTGTTAATATGTGGAGAGGGGGATAGAGATATTAAACAGGTCACACTGTCGAGTGGAGAGATCACTTCACTCTTCTCTACTGGAAAGTTGATGCCGAGAGATATCTGTACTGCACCCAATGGAGACCTCTATGTAACTCTTAGGGATGAAATTGGTTTCATAACTACCCGGAAAAGTGAGAGAGTATTGGCACGGTACTGTCCACGGGGCCGGGAGAAAGATCGAGCTCTTTATGATAGACGGGGTAACGCCCTGTTTGTCTGTCCAGGGAAGGTAAGGATCAGTAACACAGGGGGCGTTATAGGCGTGACCAATTTTACAGCCAAGGACGTCAATCACCTGGTTCTACTGAATGCAGATCTTACGTTAAAGTCCCGATATCTAGGCCATGGCAAGATCATACATGGGGAGGATACATTTGATGCGACTAGCTACAAAAATGGTTGGCGCTTTATCATTGACGATTTCATCTTCGATTCTTCAGAGAATATTATCATTTGTGAGGCCTATACCAAATCTGTACAGTTACTGTCCATAGATTTCGTCACCATGCAGACCCTCCTGCCAAAACAGGAGAGTGAACCGAGGTCCATCTCCATGACGGGTGACGAGATGTGGCTGGGTTTTCTGAACGGAACCGTGAAAGTGTACAAGTTTAGAAACGCTGATGAACAACCTACATCGTCCGACACCCATCTGTAACAAGCATACCTGGGATTGCATGTTACTGGAACAAGGTATTATAAAAATGTTTAGCTTTGTATGACTGTTCTACTAAAAAGACACAAATGTATGACCAAATCTAATTTTAGAATTAGATACAATAAAGTCAAAGGATAAGGTTAAATGTGTCATACAGAAATGTCGTCTTATATGTAAAAACTACAAGTTGACAGAAGAAATAAAATGATCTAAAGAAATGTCAAAACCTAGACGGGAATATCCATTAGCTTGTAAGCATTTATACCATGCATCACTTTCTTGTAAAGGGAATGTTACCTTTTTCTAGGTGCTTTACAAATGTCTGCCTGACCATGGAAACATGTTAAAATCAAATTTTATATTAACAACAATAACGAAACAGATTCATAAGAACGTTGATATCATTGCTTTACCGAAGTGTTCAATGGGTCTAAATTTGGGAAGCACTTGGTAATCCAGCCTACACTGTATAGTTTTACATCAGAGATAATATGTTCATTATGTTAGCTTTGACGGATGGAGACGCCCTGCTGCGGTGGATACCTGATAAAAGGTAGGACAGATAATGCTGTATTTCGTAAAATCAGGAAATCGAACAGCTACTAAAACCTGACATAAAGAGAGAACGATTCAATGAAATCTCCTTTTACCTTGTCATGTGTAGGTGTGTAAATATGGCACGTTAAAAAAACTGTGCCTGGAGAAATTTGGTATGTCCGTAATTATCATTGTTTCTACTTTGATATTGTATGATAAAAGAAAACAAAAAAATACATCGTTTATTGTATTCGATTGATTAAAATGATAATATAATTTATTCGGTGAGTTTCATGATATAAAGATGCAAGAAATCAGGTGACCACGCCCTATGTTATGTTGTATGTACCAAGTTATTTGTTGTCACATGATAAGTGATGCTGAAATGTTAAGGAATTGTAAGTTATTTACTGTAAATCACTTGGACTTCGCGAGTATTTTATTTCGCGAACGTATCTCTTAGACATATTTGTGAATACGTGATTTTGTGAACCTGACATAGAGTTGACCTAAAATTAAGGAATGTTGTTCTATTAGAGCGCAGAACTGTGCAAGGCTCCGATATTGTTAAAAATCTATATGTATGTCATCATTATTTATATATTACTAATTGCGAAAGATCTGAATTCGCGCTTGACACTCCTGGTACATTAATGCTTAATATAAATGATTTACAGTACTCTTAAAATATGTATGTATACATTGATTGGACGATTTGCAAACACACTGTATAGTCACTAATGAACTTGTATATGAAATAAGTTTACAAAGTTTAACTTAGTTCACTAATTTGTTTTACAATTTGTTCGTACAGTTGCTTTGTATTGTAGTGAGCGTTATATACTTTATTGAATAAAAGAAATATTCCTTTTACGTCAATTTTATGCTAAATATATATATAAATCTTTAATGAGTTTGGCAAATTGTTTAGCGATTTAGCGATCAAATTTCCACACCTGTGTAAATAGCCTTGAATCTTAGTTATGTAAACATTCTTGTACGTTATATGTTGTAGATAAATATCTATTTGTAGCTCATGTTTCGTTCGCTCTGTTATGTATTTTATTACTCCCCTTATTGTTTCTGTGATAAGTGTAAATCTTTGAAATAAAGGGATACGAGACCCACAAAGGCATTGGTTTCCACTTATCTATGTGTCACGTGTTACCCATTTAATCTATCGTCCTTCAATTTTTGTCTTTTTCGTCACGTATCCAATTCTTCAGGACGGCGTTAAATTTTCAATTCTTTCTTGCTTTAATACTTGTCAATAGTGTTCGCCATCTTATTGGTATCTATGTTTATATCATTTTTGTGAGTCTTCTGTTTCTCTCTCTCTCTGTTAAAATGAGATGAAACAAGGTATGTTAATTACGCCAAATATTGAACTACTTATACAACTGTTTTGTCCTAAAGGGCTCGAAAGTGTTACTAAAAATAAAGTACATATCTCTGTTTTACATATCGTATCACGTATACCAAAATTGTAGGAATAATTGTTCTTTTAATGATATTTAACTATTAAGTTTTTGACTTAAATCCACAACATCACTATTTAGAGCTAGCAATTTTCTCTACAAATTATTCACAACTTAAGTCAAATCGTTTCTAGTTCTATTGACCTCGAACTGAAATGATTCGCCAACATTTCCTTCATCAAGGAGCATCTGTTATTTCTTATTTACTACCGAATAGGAATGAAATTATAATTGTTCTAGGGTTCTGATATTTGGTTTTAGAGTTACTGTAGGGGTTAAATATTACTTCTTGGAGTCGGAATGGCTATTGTAATGTAACAGGTAACCAATAACGTGCCTTGCACACGTAAAGCTGCCACAACTGGATAATCTGTCCCCTGTTTGGGAAAGAAGAGGGGGCAGGGGATAGAGTTTTCGTCCATCCGTCCGTCTGTGTTTGTATGTACGTAACACCAAACTGCATAGGACCAAAGGCTTTGTTGACACTCTAACAACTTCCATGAGGGATTCTCATCAAACTTCTGACAGTAATATCTCGGGACAAGATTGAATTTCGGAGTTCGTGGGTCAAGTTCATCATTACTATTTTTATAAACCATTGTTGGCATTCTAGCCACTTTATTCCTAATTTTGAAAAAAAACTCATTTACAATTTCTTAGAAAATGACAATTTCAACTCTGATTCAAAAACCAAGCCTATGTATATTTTTCTCATAATCTTAATAGAAAATTATATACAAAATTACTCCTGGATTTGTTTTACTGGAAATAACTCCTAGATAATGTGCAGTATATGACAATTACAAAATATCAATATATAATTAATTATATAATAATATGAACAGTTTTTCCATTTAAATCATATTTTTCATAAAGCATAAATTGTTCAAAAGATACTGCAATGCTCCCTTCTAAAATTTTATTATACCTCCATTGGCAAACCCACCCCTAATACTAGTGGGAAAAAACGCGAAGCGAGCTTTGTACCGTTGGTGGTACTCTTGTTTGTCTGTCTTCAAAACAAAACAATAAGGATGAATGTTGTCTATTTTACCACCAACCACAACAATATCACAATCAAAACTTGTTTATCGACCGTAACATGAGCATTAAATGTGTTAAAACAAAACAAAACACTCCCCTTCCAACAAAAATGAAAATTTTAAAAAGACACAGTGGTTATTATAATTTGTTATGAACACAACGTATAATAGAATCAATGTCAAATATTGTTATAAGCATTTATCCATGTATTTATACATGTTAAGCTAAAATCCACCCCAAAAAACATACCAACACTTTCATACAAGATAAAGCATATTTTTCGTATTGGTAGGCAGGGACAGACGAAACGATTCGAATTCAAAGGAGTCTTCGATATTGATAATTGAAGACAGCCACATAACTTATATAACAACACAAGACTGATTTAAGTTCGGTCCGACACTTTTCAATACACACTCTATGCAGATAACAGGCTATCAGCTGGAACAGAAAACGTAGACCGTTTGATACGATTTAAATGTCCTGCTGATTGCAAATTTAAGACTGCATTTGCATGTTAAAAGATATATAATTATAATACATTATTACGTAAGGGTAAACAGTAATAACTTTTTCTCGCTGTATATCACATAACTATCAACGTTACCTTTATTCTGAAATACAGAGACAATATTCATATGTTTGAAACCAGTCTTGATCAAGCCTCTATACATTGTATAAATTGAGAAAAACATGGTTTAGAATTCCACCGTCTCAGTGTCAATGTACAAAGAAACTACTCCACTTGTGTGAATAAACCATGCATATCAACAATGACATTTAAAAACACGTTTGTTCGTTAATATTGCGTAAATGTCACGTGTTACCTGAAGGAGGAACTTTCTTTTCATTTCTTCTGCAGAGTTGTCATGGCAAGGTCACGTGAGTATACAGTGGTTGTGTATATAAATTGTTCAAGAATATAGAAGTTGTCCTACCAGGAGTACCTACATTCCAGGTTGTTGAACTAAATCATGGAAGCCTTCAACGCATAATACGACAAAGCATGGTGACTGTCAAAAAATATTTAAATGGCGTCAATACGACATGGTGAAAACAGACGACTAGGTTTTGGACATGAATGAGGTATAGTGATATAATGTGTATGTAAGGATAGTTGAATGTTTTTAGGTAACATAATGATACTGGTGATAGCTATATTCGAAAACAGAAACAAATGCTAAACAACAAAGTGATCTTCTGATTTTCAAATGACATCGGAATTGTATGACTTAGTCATAAGGAAGTATGGATTATGTAGTGATAACGGATAAACACACCTTCTATTAAATCCGCCAAAATTAGAACAGTTCATACTATAACCTTAACAGGATCTTATTTTAGGATTTTCTGTCCGCAGATGAGAATGCTGCCAGGATGGCTCTGATATCGATGTAGCTTGTTATGATTAGAAACGATGATGTATGTGGATATAAACACGATACAGGAAGTGTTTCCAATGTAAGAAGTTACCGGAAATACCCAGTTGTTGATGTGTACATTAATTGGGGATCATACCTGATAGATCTAAACACTTTATGACTGACGTATCAACATCAAATATGAAATGTGTAAAACATCCGGGTAATCAGATCATTTCGGTCTGTGCCACGTGTGATTCCACACTGGTCTGTGAGGATTGTATGACGGACGAGCAACACAAATCTCATGTCTTCGAGAAACCAAAAACAATTGCAAATAACATCAAAACAAAGCTACAGAAACAAGAGGAGACAGTATCTGTATTAATGTCCTGCTTAGAGGTGGACTTGGATGAGGCACAGAAGCTAAAATCACAACAAGAACACAACCAAAACAAAATAATCAAAAGAATAAACAACAGCAGAGAGGAAATAATTGAAACTGTTGCTAAGATGGCTGTTAAATTTATATCACAATCCGAGACTCAATTCCAACGTAACTATGTTAAACTACAAAACG